AAGCGCCACGGCAAGCAAAAAAGCGCCACGGCAAGCGCAAAAGCGCCACGGCGAAAGCAAAAGCGCCACGGCGAAGGCAAAAGTGCCACGGGTTTATTGGGAAGGGGCGTAATCATACATGCCGCTACTACATCAAAAAATAAAATGGGAAGGAGAATGGCCGCCACCAGGAATTCTTATTAAGCACAGAATTTAATTCTTTGAGAAGTGATTTTATGGCTGAGAAAATAGCAAAGCCAAGGAAAACCGGTCAGGAAATAAATCGTCGATATTAATTTGTTGTAGGATAATTATTATTCCAAGAGAGTTGCTGCCGTGAATCAGAGTTTATCAAGGAGTGGGACTCGCTATCGGCACCATCAAGGCCGTTCCTCATTTCTTTACATTTCGTGGATGCAAACAATTACAAGGACGGGAGGCTCTGTGAGCTGATGCATTTTTTAAAACATTTTTTTCCCCTTCCGACTAGCATGCAGAGAAGAGTTCCGTTAATTTGAGCCTTTTTTCACAGTGTGTATACCAGTGTAGGCACGAAAGTGAGCTGCCCAGAGTGTATGAGTTAATTTTTTTTTCTTTTTCAGTATATCATACACATCTATAGGAAGTCGATTAAGGCTCTCCTGCAGGGCTGCGGCAGTGGGTGGGTAAGGCTTGTCAACACGTAACTCGCCCGCGGGCCCATTAGGTTAGAAATTCCCAGAGAGCGGGAATTTCAAAACTCTTCGCTGAACGTTGATTGCACTGACCGGTTTTCCTTGCTATTTTCTCAGCCATAAAATCACTTCTCAATTCATGGTGGCGGCCATACTCCTTTCCATTTAATTTTAGATGTAGTGGCGGCATGTATGATTACGCCCCTTCCCAATAAACACGACTGAGTTGAAGATAACTCACAAATCGAGAAATGGATCGTTCTATTAGACAGTTGCAACGCTTTCGACAGAGGAGGTTAGGTCGTGGATTTCATGTAAGGAACGTAACACAGGCGAAGACTTTGGATATAGAATAAGAAAGAAAGAAATTAACTTTAAAAAGGGGGGGGGGGTAAGGGAGAGACACTAAACAAAGGAGAAGTGTTATCGTTGAGATGCACAGTTCTAAGCTCTTCTATGAAAATTTGGTGGCTCTGAAAAGAGCCGTTTGCTTTGTTTCGAGTGAATACGGAACTATTTGATGCCGGAAACAAGCCCTCTTTCTGCCCTGCAGGCTGATTCTGCGATGATGTGGAAGACTGTCCACATGGCAACTCATCATCGCTATCGCTAAGCATCATGAGGTCTTGTTCGGCTTGTTGGTTTCTTGAGCCGGGGGTGGGTGGGCCAATGAGTTCTAGGTTCTGAGTTAATTTCTTTCTTTCTTATTGTATATCCAAACTCTGGGCAGCTCAATTGTGTGCCTACACTGGTGAGCTTGTCTTACATACGCAGTGTGGACTTCCGAACAAAAGACGTCCACATAATGTAGGTAGCAGCGACGAAGTGTGGACTTGCCCACGTCCACACAGTGTTTCCCCATTTCTGGAAAACAGGTTTAGAGGCATTTTTGGGTTAGGTTTATCTGTAGCAGAATGAAGAGAAACACTAAAGGGAATCATTGAAAAAAATTGGGTTGTAAGAGTTTTCACAGTTTGAGAAAAATGAGTTTTTCCACTGGTGTTCCTTAACTACACGAAAGAAAGGAAAGTCCACACTAGGTATGTGAAACAATTCTGTGTGTACACACCGGTGAACTCATGGGCGTCGCCAGAATTTTTTCTAAAGGGGGCAAAACATATTTTTCCCAAAAATTCTTGTATTTCTGAACAAATTCTCGATTTCTCAGTTTTAGACGGGGGCAGGGACATTTTGCCCCCCCCCAACTCATTCAATTTATACCACTATGACTTCGCGCCTCTTTTTCTTTTCTTATTTTTCTCTCAGTTTTTTCCCCTTCCTTTTTTGTGTGCTATTCCAGGGGGGGGGGGAGCGCCCCCTTGCCCCCCCTCGCGACGCCCATGGGTGAACTAAGTCTCAAATTAACGGAACTCTTCTCTGCATGCTAGTAGGAAGGAAAAACTCTTCAAAAAATGCATCAGCTCACAGAGCCTCCCGTCCTCGTAATTGTTTGCAGAAATGAGGAACGGCCCTGATGGTGCTGATAGCGAGTCCCACTCCTTGATAAACTCTGATTCACGGCAGCAACTCTCTTGGAATAATAATTATCCTACAACAAATTAATATCGACGATTTATTTCCTGACCGGTTTTCCTTGGCCTTGCTATTTTCTCAGCCATAAAATCACTTCTCAAAGAATTAAATTCTGTGCTTAATAAGAATTCCTGGTGGCGGCCATTCTCCTTCCCATTTTATTTTTTGATGTAGTAGCGGCATGTATGATTACGCGCCGCGGCAAGCGCAACAGCGCCACGGCAAGCGCAAAAGCGCCACGGCAAAAGAAAAAGCGCCACGGCAAAACAAAAAGCGCCGCGGCAAAGGAACAAGCGCCACGGCAAAACAAAAAGCGCCACGGCAAAAGAAAAAGCGCCACGGCAAAACAAAAAGCGCCGCGGCAAGCGCACAAGCGCCACGGCAAGCGCAAAAGCGCCACGGCAAGCGCAAAAGCGCCACGGCGAAAGCAAAAGCGCCACGGCGAAGGCAAAAGTGCCACGGGTTTATTGGGAAGGGGCTTTTGCGCTTGCCGTGGCGCTTTTGCTTTTGCCGTGACAGTTGTGGGCCACCGTAGTGTCAAGACTCCGCAACTTTCGAATTGAAATCGAGATCCCGAATGATGTGTTTTCTCGAAATATACAGCATTCACAGAGCTAACGCTTCATCAGGTTAATAGTTGGTAAACACCCGTCTTTAGAATTTGAGCACTTTTGTTGCTCCAAACGAAAAAAAGGGCACCAATGACAAAATTAATTCCTATAGGCATCCCTTTAGGCCAAAATATGAGATGAATTTCCACCCATAATAAGTATCGGAACACAGTGATGCTAACTGTACGCCTCTACAGCACCAGACAATGTTGAATCCTAGTTGTTTTAGGGGCCATTCAGAATTTTCAATGTTTTAAAATTTCGACTTTTTTTCCAAATTATTTTGACCCACCCACCCACCCCTAATTTCGATTAACAAAAAACTGATTTGTTACCCAGTATTAAAAAACAAAACATGTACAATGTACATGTATATGTACATGCACTTGCATGTACATTGTACATCATTACATCCCGTGCGGGTTGCGTGTCCTTTCGGGAAAAAAATCCATTGCTGCAGAGTGCTGGGCGGAGGCAAAAGCTGTCTCTTTGCAACTTTTCGACAAAAAACAAAAGTCAAAAGATCTTTGTTTTTTTTGTGTGTGCTCTTTTTTTCCATGAAAAGTGAATTTCGATTTTCAATTATTTAGCTTGACCCACCCACCCACAATTTGGAAAAAAGTCGAAATTTTAAAACATTGAAAATTCTGAATGGCCCCTTACCTTGCAAAAAAAAAGCCGCCAGATTGGCCGAACTCGTGAAACGGGTCAACTACCAATCTTATAGTACGCGTACGGGACTCTCCGGATCAGCACTGTAATGAAATTTGTTACGAAATAACCACAAAGGAATGTCACCTGATAAGATTGGGCGAACCAGCGAACATTGTTTTGGACTTGGATCAAAACAGACGTCAGACAGATAACCGTACCAGGACATGTTGATATAAAAAAACAAGGACTGATCTGTTGACGTCAATAACGTTTACAATCAAGTCTTATCTTTATCGTTTGTTCAAAAACACAGGTATGCGCTCACTGCAACAAGATAAGTTTCGATCTACACATCTTTTCAATCCGCTTTAGCGTTACGAACATGAGATCTTTAAACAATTCACCTGACACACATATAGACCTTGATCATGCTGCCACCATTTTTGTCATGTTCCCTGTATGCAATAACAATACTGGAAGATAAATGTTTTTGTGCAAAAAGGAACCAGACTATTTTTCCTTCCAGCCTCGCTTTGGTTTATTGATTTAAATGGGAAAAACAAACGGCTGCAAAATGATAATGGTCTATTTCAATCCTAAAGTTATTGAGCATGACAAGAAATCCATGTGAAGTATACTGGCAAATTTAAGACTAAACAGTCAAAATGTATTGTTATAAGCCATTAATAATTTACTGACACTTTCATTCGTGAATCTTTGTACGCTTACGATCTTGCATTTTACGGAGAGTACAAGTGTCTTCAATTTGACATTTTACGAGAAGCTTCTTCCCTATTTTTTTAATCACAAATGTTAAATTATTCATCATAGCAGACTGGTATTAATTTGAAACGAGCTTTCATCTCATTGCTTTCATTTCTACTCGCAAGTTCCAAAAGTGAAGATTTTACCTCGCCTTCAATTTAATATGGCCGACTCGTGAGTAAAGTCTATTGCCGTCAGCGCGTTGGATTTCCTGTACTTATAGGCAGAAGAGAACTCGGCGGTCAAAGTTGATTTAATGAAGGACTATGTGCCATATCAAGAAATACAAATTAACAAATTTTAAAGTACAGTATGTCCCCCCAAAAATGGCCGTGTAACTGTTTCTAAAATAACGACAAAACGATGAGGTCAATTTTGAAAATGTAGGCCTATGGATATTATGTGCAGATACTCTAGGCCTTGAGCTCTGTGCAGATAAGCCTTGGCCTCAACCCCTATAAGTGTAAAATCCTGCATGTTGTGAAACTGTGGTCTTGCCATGGTGACTGATTTGGCAAAATTTGATTTCAATCCCAACTACAGCCCTTTTCACAACATGAAGGATTTTACACAGCTTACTTAAAACCCTAACCCCCTAGTACTTCCTCAGGATTACCCTGCTAAATCCAACAGAGTCCAACCGGACTTTCCTGCTCAATCCACTGTGCCTCATTTTCAGTTGTCTGCTGAATCCAACGGAGTCCAACATGGCGTTATAATGCGGTTCAGTTGCCTGCTGAATCCTACATTTTGCATGAGGAATGTACACAAGGGGTTAACTGCTCAATCCAACAGGCTCCATCGGGTATGTGACAAAGTTGGATCCTGTTGGATTCAGCAGCCGGGGTTAGGGTTTTAACACAGTACTGACATTAAATAAGGCAAGGATCTTGGTCACAGTGTCCAAAAATCTTGTTGTGATCATATCAAATGATAATTGTGCAGTGATGCGTGACTGAAATTAAATGAAACTCATTGGGGTTGAGGCCAAGGCTTATGATCTGCAAAACAAATAGTTTTCAAAGTTGACTTCATGGTTTTGTAGTTATTTAAAAGTAGTTAGACAGACACTTTTGGGACATATATTTGTATATTCGGTAAGATAAATCTTTGGTTTCCAGTCTGTCTCTGGTTTCCTGTCGCCTACGAGGGCAATCAAAATCAAGCGAAGTTTTAGTGTGCCATTTGCTGAATATACCGAAAAGAGAACTCATCAAACTGCTGTCGAGTTTTTCTGTAACCAGCTCATAAATTGGCTCATTGAATATCCAAACAGCTTGTAATCGACATCGTAGAGTTTTGCTAATTTCACGATGTCTTCGGGAGCAAGTTTAGGGAACTCTGTCTGTGCGACCCCGAGCGAGTCTGACCGGCGGATGGGGAAATCGACGCTGCCGCCCCCAGCGCTCCAGCGGTTCAAAACAGGCAGAATAGCCGCAGCATCGGGGCCCAAGGTTTCGTAATGCCCAACGAAATCGTAGCGGACGAGGCAGGGGCGACAGCGGGAACGGTAGGGCTCCCAGTGCATGTCTCGCATCAAGGGGGACCGGGGTGGCCCTGCAGTCAGGTACTTCACAAATTCAGGGAAACTGATCTCGACATCTTCAACTGACGCTGAAGGTTGATGCCCGGTGTCTTGGGATGCCGATGAGTGTCTAGTGAGCTGTGAGTTGTAGTAGCGTCTGATCCTAGGCCCCCAAGAGCTCCGGTAGTCGCGCCTCTGCGGCCCGGCAACGAACTTGTCACGCCATCCGGAGACGAGTCGCAACATGGGCTCCCTCACGAACAGGAACTTTGTGTATTCGCGCAGCCGGCGTTCCCGTTCCTCTGCCGAGTACGTGCCCAGTCGCCGCAGCCCGCCCGTGCGCGATCTGCGGTGACCACCACCGGTCGCGCTCGAGTTGTTGACCGAGGACACAGCGTCTAGGACCCGACGCCAGGCGATCGAAGACACCTTCCGTATCTCGCAGAACAGGAAACGATTCCGGTCGTCCACCAGTAGATGACCTGGTGCCGAGGACGACGTTTCTAGGTCCACCAGACTGTCGCAGGTTTCGCGCAGGACCTTCCTCCGTAGTGTCTGCGTCCACCAGACATCGTAAGTCTCGTTGACAGTTTCTGGGTGATGCAGGTACCGGTAGCTCTCAGTCTCTAATGCGGCTCGATCATCAGTGTGCCATTCGGAATCTTCCTTCTTGGCATTTGTCCAAAAGGTGTCGCCATCTTTTGTCAGCTGAAACGATCAAACACAAGGTATATGTTATTTATTGTATATATTTTATTTCTATTTCTAAATAAACCGGGGCCATAAAATTATCACAATTAATTTATCTAATGCTCTATAAGCAAATCCTTATTATCAATGAACATTTTTATTACTATACTTGGGGAGGGCTATGGTTTTTGGATTGGTAATAACTATGAAGAAAGATGATCCAAGGAACAGGAATATTTTAAATATTTGTTTGTTTTCAAAACTGTTTGACATCACTGCACTATACAGTACATGCGGATGACGTAGAAAGACCGCCATGGAGCATATGGCTCTCTTTATGCAAATACAAGCCTATTCTGTTGCCGCTTTATCAGCCGCCGACGTCATCAAAATATAATCAGGGCAGTCAATACATTGGCATCGATTGTCAAAACAGTGGAATACAATGGAAAATGGAAACACGGCTGTTGTTATGTAGATCACATGTCAGATCTGTCAGTATAACAGTATTTTTCCGTTGGATACCGGACGAGTTCACACAAAATCTGGGGCAAGCCAATATTCAGTGCATGCCAAAAATTGTACATCGCTAGATTTGAAATTATCAGAAACCATCAAACTCGCGTAAAAATCACAAGGGTGCTCCAATTCAAAAGTGAACTTGATACCCCAACCATTGATGGAACTTGTCATACAGTATTCCTTTTATTTTATATAGCTTAAATTGAATTTAAAAATTCATTATTTTTTTCACACTTTAGCTAGGTTAAAACCGATAGGCCATGGGCCAAAATCTGTATCATGGCTAGGATTAAGTTGAGGTTCGTCTTACTATAGCTTTCTGGTGTCAACTTGCGATAAAGTCAACTTTACTAATTCGATAGTGCTGAATCTGAACCTGGTTGTTCACATTGGCCCAGATTGCACATTAACCTGATGACCATTTTTCTCCTTCGTTTGCCCATTTTTTGGTCAAAAATAGCATTTTTGCCATAACTGCTATGTTTGAAGTTCCTGCTTTCAAATTTGACACGATTCAGCCATGGAGTCGAGGCTATAGTAGTAGAACGCGATGGCGGCGATGCATCGCGATCGCCCTCATGTGGTATGGGTAACAGTCCCCCTGTTATTTCTAATTTATGTGCAAACGATGTGGCGTGCACATGTAAACTATCAATTAACATGTTACAAGCTGCTTATAACTGAGAAATAAAGTTGCCACTAAAAAGTTTAGACGAGATTGCATGCTACAGGCTTTGGCCAGTTTCCAACACGTTAACCTTCTACCAAAACAAGTCGGTGTAATTAAAGAGAAAATAGTTTTAAACGACTGCTTTAAAACTGGTTACTAAGGTCCTGCTCACCGATAATGGCCCCAACCGAACGCCAACTAGTCTATGGAATATCCCTTTGCACAGCCAGGGTCTTTGATGTGTGAGGACATTTGGCGATTAATTATGCAAAACAAGACTTGAACTCGAGATTCTGACCATGCAGTGGGCGCATTCTATCTATCGTGTCTAGGGTAACCCGTTGTTGCTTTACCAAAAAAGGAAACCAAATCGACCAATCAATAGCTTAGTCCACATTTCTGATCGATATGACGGCGCAATTGCTAAAATCGATTCCGATTACCTGGAGCGCGGGGTCGCATAAAATTTGCATTGCTCATAATTATATCAGACGTTGGTTATACAGAGTGGGCTCCGACAGACGAGTGATGCTCAGACTTAACGGATATGCGAATTATACATTCAATGTTCTGAACTAAGAAGCATTAACTTTGTTCAATTTTCCAAGCAGCACTATCTTTGTAAGAGAAAGTAAAAATGAAATATGAATTTCTCCCTGATGTTTTGAAGGGCGACCTATGCGATGCGTTATAAACAACCTTGAAACACTGCTTGTCTATTTCATTTAGTTAAATTCTTTCACACTGTGAGTGGAATATTATTATGTCATGCAAAATTATACACATCGGTGATCGTGACGGAGTTAGAAAAAAAAAGTGCACCCTTATGCTCATCGAATTCCACACGGTCATTCTGATGCTCGTGTTACGACCCAACTAAAGCATCGATCCTGACTGCAGTTGGGACTACCCCAACTACAGTTGGAACGATCCCAACTTCAGTTAAGATGTCCCTAACTGCAGTTGGGCCATTGCTGTAGTAACAGGCCGTAACACTCTCATACAACCTTGAATTAATGGAGCCTCAAACAGCCGTTGAGCCTAGCGGGGCTCTCAACCTATAAAAGGTGCGCGTACTTGACGGAGCTCCTGCGAAGGACGAGTGCGGTTGAAGATCCCAAGTGGACAACACACACAAATCTGTCCTGCGAGTGTGAGCTCTCTGAAGTCACATAGGCCTACTGCAATTCGAGAAACAATTTAATCTCTGCGAAGTATTTTGGGCGCATCCAGCTGATGCAGTGCAGGCCCATACGGGACTGGGGATTGAGATTAACCAAGGAATATAACAGATCGACTCGTCTTCTTCTTGTGCCCGTACAGGACAGATACGTTCTTGACAACAATCCTCTATACCTTCGGCAGTTCTGTTCGGCTCGACAGATAAAACGCCCGAGGGCGGACCCCAACCGCCGATTCGTACTATTGGTGAGTATACTACATTGCAACTGAATTCAAATAAATCCAGAATTTCAACTTCAACTTTTCAACAAGAACTTCATGAAGAAACAATCTTTTTTGTACTCATTTTGATGTCAGGAATTACCGGCATTTTGCAGATCATTATTCAAGGTGCGGTGGTGAGTCTTAGTGTACAGTCTCTATGTTATTGTTTATACATGTCTCTATGTTATTGTTTATACATGACGCAAAAAAGACACAGCAAACAGCAAACGAACGAGCAGTTCAACCAAATGACCCTTTTCTAACGTGAATCGTTAAGGCGTATGCCGTTTGAAAGTTTTGTTAAATTGGGTTTGTGTGTTTGGTTATAGCAGAGTAGCATTACCGAGTGTACTTTAAATTCACCCTCTCATGGAGGATTTCCCGAAGGTGACAAGTGTATATCTTGGTATTAGAGTAAGGCCTCTGCAAATAAAGTGCCGGCAGTTAAAATGGACTTCTGAGTTGTTAAGTGTTTGTACGGAAGATTTTGGGGGGTTTCGTAAGCCCAATACCCGGTGCTAAGTATCTCAGCTTGCGGCCCGCTCCCATTGTTTCACGTCGTTCTTCACAAGATAGCGGTCGATGTTTGGCAAAGGTGTGGGCTCGACAGCTGCATTTTTGTGGGGACCGTGTCGACTGATGCGAGTTCAAAGGATCAGCTCCTTTATCATATAGAGTGGCTGAAACTTGGCCTGAACAAAACAAAAATCTCCTTTAACGTGCATAACCCATAACTTTGGTTGTAAACGGGAATGATTTTTTTTTTGCTGAACGCAAAAAGTCAGTCTATTTTTTTTCTGTTGCAACCCCTATGTTTTTTTACCCACTTACGGATCCAAGCACAAATTTATTGAAGATCACTTCCGCAATAAAATAATGTAGTCACTATTAAACCATAATAGAAGTGCACCGTTCTGAAGACATGAACCACCGTCTGGCGCCGTAGTGACCGATCAAAAGTTGTACAAGTTATTCATCTGCTTATTATGTTCAATGGACGAGTGTTGTGTATACTTCCGTCTCTGTCGTAATATTTTGGGGAAATGGGAGCATTAGGCGGGGATGATGGAAAGATTGGCCCAGGGTGGTTGTGCGATAGTTTCTAAAGAGCATTTAATTTGGGGAAAAGACAACATTTCTTTTTTAAGAAACAGGACTACTAGGAAAGTCTAATAAAGCTGGTCCCAAATGCGCACAAAATCATACTCAATTGGTTAAGAACGGTTCACTGGAAGTCAAACGGGGCGATTCTATACGATAGCACTGCCCGGGTCTCTGCATCAACCTATCCGGTTCGTTAGTAAAAACGTCATACACGCGCGCGCACCACTGATTACCAGCTCCCATTGGATAAACGCTCGAAGAGTGTTCGTGCTATGCTACACCGTACGCATGGTTGAATTGAGATGACGTCACACTAACGAAGCGAATACAACCAATATAAGTCACACGTGACGGGGAGTCAGTCAGTCAGTCAGTGAGATAGGTACAGAGCTAGCTGGGTGTCTGTGCACAGCAGAAATGTTAATAATAGTTGTATCACATGATTTTGCAGTTCAGGAGTATTGAATGAACTAGATACTGCAAAGGTTCAGCGACGGTGTTGAATTTCAATCGAAAAGATTCCAAAATAAACAATACAGGACCGTTTTTAAAGCAAACTTTTGTAGAACTAAAAAATACCTGTGCTGCTGGGTTACTTAAATATTTGCCATTTCCCCGTGTTCTCGTTCATTGTGCTTGCTTGTAATCGCGGTTGGTACCTCAGGGTTTAAAAATCAGGAAATGCCCAGTCTTCTGAAGAAAGTACATGTTATAAAATCAATCAACAGACAAAACAACTGTAATAAAGACTGCCTTATACATAATATTTAATATAGCTATATCTATAGCATGTTTATAGCTATTACATGTACCATCTTATTCAGGCATCCCAAACGATAACCATCCCGCGTGCTCGAGAAGAGTCCCTATAACAACCCCGAGCTGTTGTCCCCGAAGTTTGACAACGATCGGTAGAGGAATGTTCAACAAAATTGGTTATCAACTGTAGGAGATACGGAGTGGAAGTCTCAGGAGATGTACCGAAGCAAACACAAAGAGGCCGCTTGCAACTCCGTGTTTACCGCCAGAACGGAAGGTTAAGTTCATAGTTTCACACGCCGCCGGAAAAGTTCGTTTGCCCGGGATATAAACACCATCTTGTGATGATAATCGTCGCTGCCTGCTTTCTGAAACAGGTGTCCGCGAAGAAAGTAAAACGAAACCACTGCCGTCGTTTCTTTCCTTTTTTTTTTTAAATGTGTTTTCACAACGATGCTCTTGGGAGCTTCCACATAGTAGAGTGCCAAGCAGTATAACGGATATAGTTCAGCTGCTGACTAATGTCATGATATTAGTAAAATGGTGCCAAATACAATCAATGGAATGCAATATTTTCCGGGGGATGTCTTCAACACGCCTTCATCCAATCCCCTCCCCCTTCATATCACCCCCCCCCCCCCCGATTCCTGAAAGCTAGATCCGCCCTCGCAGAGGTGTGATGATGGGCTTTTTTTCAATGCTACACTTTATCTATCCACTGATGAAGCGTCTAGGTAATCAAAGTAATAATGTGCAGGTTTTAGCGCCTTAATTATGCTGCTCCCAGGGCCAGCCTATCTTCTTTGTACCTACAGTATCTGACTGACTGACTGAACGACTGACTGTCCCTTGTGGGCCGGGCAGTGTTATCGTATAGGATGACCCCGTACTGCCAATGAGTGTGCTAAATCCGATCCATTGTGTAAACCAGATGCACGAAAAGACAGTGAATGGCCATTCCGAATCAATTGAATGGAATCTCATGGGCTATGTGATCAGCTTTGCTGGGCTTGCCTTAATATACCGTTATCATGTTGCGGCCATCTTGATTTTGTACCATTCAAATCAACGTAACAAAAGCGAGGCTAGAAGGAAAACTAGTCTGGTTCCTTTTTGCCATAAAAACAACAACGACATTATCATTCAGTACTGTTATTTGAAAACAGGGAACATTGACTGAAATGGTGGCAGCATGACAAAGGTCTATAGAGCCTGGAAGTCCATTTTTGTCTTTGAGCTTCGGGACCCCTCCGCGACCCTTCTATGGGCATTTTACACGGGGTTGCCCCATTTCTCTGGCAAGAATTTTCTGACAGAATGTAATCACCGCCGGTAAACATTCATGCTGGAATTTATCTTGGCATTCTACAAGAAACTCATGATGAGAAATCAGTTGGAAATGGGGAAAAACGAATTTTATTTGCTACCTTTCACAACCGGATTTTCGCACTTAGGGATCCGCCTTCGATCACGCTTGTTTCCACATCGCATACTTGCGTGAGAACGAAAATGATAACGACGCCAAGATTTACCTAACTACATCCGATGGATTTTAGATTTAGTCGTGCTTGCTTGAATATAGTTCGTATCACCGGTCATTTTAGATTTGTTTGTAATTGCTAATGAGTCCTTCAAGTTTATTCAAAAAATTGTGTGTTCAAAAATACATTTACAGTCTCCTATTTTAGTTCCAGTTTTTACCCAATTCCCGCCACAAAATTATTTCATACAGTTTCATCTTTGTACGAGTGCTCCGAGTTCCACTAGTCCACACGTAGTTTAGATTCTCGGAAGTGAGAGGTCAATTTTTGGCACGATTTTTCTCTCTCACGATTTGACAAAGGGTGATTTCTGAAGAAATCAATGAACCAAAAATAATCTTAGAAACTCCGACTTTTACACGCTAATTTTCCTATTCAGGGGTCCGCATGCGCGCCACTAGGGGCCTACTTTTAGGCGCTGTTGTCTTGTTTAAACGATACCCTATCTGCGCAATACGGGATATCGGAATCATATTAATGTTTTGAGGTTTTGTGTGAGTGTTCATTTCCTTCACAGTGACACATGACAGTAATATCGTCCCTTTTTTAAACATCATGTTGGTGTCCAGTTTGTCTAGTGGAAAAACGAATGCATGAATTAATTAGGAGGGTTTCGTTTAAACGTTTAAACGTATTAAACCTTGCAAGCATAAGTGGCAAATGGTCACACTTATATATCCAGCTTACTTTAGTCAGCCTGGTTCAAGTTTGACAGTTATATACTTCTATAAAAGGGTGTAATATGGCATTGTTTACTGTCTGCCAATGTGGTTTTTTTTTTATAAATATTGTATACTTCTGGAACTTAATACCCACAGCTGAGCGTCAAAGGGAATACATATATATAAACAAAAAATCGAATACCTCTAAACCCCATTACTTTGTAGTAATCACAGCGGCGAATAACAAGGGTTCTCATGTAAGCATATAAAAAAACCGAAACCCAAATGTCGGGACCATTGTTTTAGTGAAGTTGTGCATGTTACACTTTCAAAATCTAGGATATGAAAGCCCCATTCATAAGCTTTCTTTTAGTACAAAATCATTCATATCACTTATGTACTTTTCAAGTTACATAATTTGAAACACAACCACCGTTTTAAAGTTCTGTCCACAAATCACAAGAAGGTAAGTGTTCTTTCAGCAAAACGAAAACAAATCACATAGGGATGTGTGTGAATTGTTTCGTTTTGCTGAAAGAACGCATACCTTTTGTGTAATCCGTGGACAGAACTTTAAAACGGTGGTTGTGTTTAAAATTCAGTAACTTAAAAAGTACATAAGTGATATGAATGATTCATGTACTAAAAAAAACCTTATGAATTGGTCTTTCATATACTAGATTTTAAAAGTGCTACATGCGAGTGGGGGCTAGATGTTACAGTAGAAAGGGCGTGGGGGCGCCCAATTTATGTTAAACCCGTTATCCATAGTAGGACAAACACATTTTAAGTGGGGGCGACTGCCCCTGGGGAGCAATGATTTTTTTCCCGGGGGAAGTGGGGGGGGGGGGGCACGCCCCCAGCCCATGTCCCCTTCGCTATGCCGCTGGTTTTTTTTTTTTTAGAGAGAATCCCAGCCACAGAAGAAAACGATTAAGAGATTTGTTGATTAAGGCCTCTGAATGCTAGTCATGGTCGATATACAGACCTTAATTAGTACAAACAAATTCAATTGAAAGACACGAGTGATGGTTTAACGCAATACACATACAAACGGTGACGATTAACAATAACGACCCGTATAAATACAACAGCTGGTAAACGGCCCATGGAATCGATATCGACTGATGTGGGGGCGGGGAATACCCAGCGCAGGTTTGTTTGGTGGTCCAGACAATTATATTAACTGTTTTCCTTCCAAAATCACACGAAAATAATATTGACCTGGACTTGAAGGTGTCTTGGCCGGTATTTTCCGTTCACCAGCTTTCACCGTGTTGACCGAGCGACTATGATTGAACCATTGGGAAGTCTTCAATCAATTTTGAAATGTAATCCTTTCTTTCTTTTCTACCTAATTATATACTTTACCTACGTCGCTCTTGTGCCACCGCGGCTGTATATAGACAGGCAAATTTGAAGAGCCTTTCCGTGATAATGATCATCGTGGGAACCGGATATGCTGGTTGGTTCATTCATTGCGTCTTATTGAATTTTCTTGTTTTCAATATAATAATTCCCTTCTCGAACATTGCATTCCTTTAGTTCATCCACTTACATTAAACATACATCATAAGATGTTCAACATATTGGTTAGGTCGCCCGACTTTTTTGTACTTATTTATTTATTTATCTATTGGTTTTTTTCTTGTGATTTCTTTTAGCCGTAGACTTTTTTCACCGTCTGTGTTGAACTAAAATTCAAATAACCTGTCTACAATTTTGGGGAAAATATCCCCCTCCCTTTTTTTTTTCAACAAGACTGTTTTTTTTAAGACATCCTATACATAGATGTGTCTGTCTTATACTTACTGCTTGTGAATCTCCGATTTTTGCACTTGTGTTTTCCATGTAACTGCCTGTTATGGAAGAAAAAAAGGGAAAAAAAAATAAATAAATATTTTTAAATAAACATTTTAAGCATAATCATCTACACGAACAATTCGTCTATTGTAGACAACTTGAATTTTTTTTTTTTAGAGTTAATGACGTGAGTTTCTATGTGGTATATATTATGGATAACTTTAATGGTAATGTACACAATTTTGCAAACATTCAAAAATAAAACTGAAATATTCCACCTGACTGCAAGTAAATAAGATGATCATGCATTCTTTGAAATCGTTGCGACTAGTATGCTGTCATTTGTTTTTTAGGAAAAAGTAATACCATCATTTCTCGCGATGGTTTGCCAGTGGGGCAAACCAATCGCGCTCTCAACGTAAACCTATATGCTTTGCGTCGACAAACAAAACTAGATGCATTTATTTTTTCTCAAAAAGTATATGAACTGAGCAGAAATTTCGATGGGTTAGTATTTTAATAACCTGCTTCAGATTTATGTTGTTGTTGTTCCTTCAATCGACAAAACATTTTTTTGTGGCAAATGGTGTCATTACCTTTTAAGGTATCCATCGCACTTTTAATATTCTTACCATTTTTTGAGTGGCTGAAAAAGTCAAATTTGAAAATACCACTTTGAAAAATGACCAAATAGACAACAAAAATCTAGAAAAATCACAAAACTTGATTCAGTCATTCCTGAATTGGTTGGTATGCAGTTTCAAATTTCAGACATTCGACCATCAGTAAAAAAAAAAATCCAAGTTTTAATGAATTTTCACTTCAGACACTTTTAAAAGAGAGTAGGCCCCGTTTGTTTCAAATTATGAGGCATATTGAGACTAATTAATTTATTGCAAGCTGGACTGCAAGTATTATAGCAGACCAAGACAGAATGATTACCTCAATAAATATGCAATTTGCCATTGACATGATTTGGATTTTTCAACCCCCTTCGTCGCGCACCTAGCTTTGAATTGAATACGTTGGTCGTGTGCACACTCGCATGTACACCCAGTCAAAATTAAGCAACAATGTGGAGTTCACGATGTCAACGATCTTTCAAATATGTGACGTGCCCAGGCATGGGTCGGAGGCAGGCCCCATGCTGGCCGCTCGCCTTGAGATGGAGGTGGCCCGACCGTGCCAGAAATTCAAAGTGATTACTGTCAACCTCTAGCGCAATTTAAATTTAATTTCAGGATTGTTTGCTGACCGAAGTTTATGAGCGCTTGTAGTGGATCGATCCACAAACGATTTTCAGTTTTTTTTTCTTATTCGAAAATATTGAATTCCAAGGCATTCTAATGGAATGGGGAAACTGTAACGGTGAAATTAGAGAGGGAACGCGAACAGATCGGAAGTATGAAATGAGGGTGTATGCACTGTAAAAAGGTTGGGTAAAATACTGTTGGGCAATGTAATTTACCCGACATTGGTATGAAATTACCTCATATATCGGGTAAAAACTGTCAAACTATTGGGAAGAATTTGCTCAAGAGTGTAGCACTGGTCGAATTATCAACCCATTTTGCCCAAACTTTTTTACAGTGTGGGTGTATGCTCAATTGCGTCTTGTAAGGGGCGTAAATCCCGGTGTTTTTTTTTTTTAGGGGGGGTGGTATATTTATCACCCCCTGCATGTGTGTTTAAATAACTTTGATACATTATTTATTGTGATGTATGCAAGTAACACAATACCAATACCAATAACCCCCACTTTTTGACCAGGGGGATGGGCTATTGGATCCTACCCCCCTTTTTTTGTGATGAGAAAAGAAACATGCGGATTTTGAGTCATTTTTCGAACTCCCCAACAACCTGAATGAATCCAAAAGCACTGAAAAATGGGGAACTTTTTTTAAGCTTTAGATGCGCTGTTTTGAAGTAAGTTATAAGGCTTGTAAGTATGCGAACGTGTAATCACCAAAATGTTCCCAGCAAAAGGACAAATAGGCAGAAAATTACAGCCTCTATTTTAATGAATTTTTAAAGATTTCCGTCGGAAATGAACAAAAGTTGTTCCAAAAATTGTGAGAAAAATTAAATATTCGTACAGTTTCTTATTCTCTTAGGAGAACATTGGTTTCATATGAAGCCCGGGAAGGGACAGGCTGGATTTTTTTTTTGGCATTTGCTAATTCGTTCGCACGAATTACTAATTCTAACACATTACTAAATACTAACATGTTCAGTTTTACGCCACTGCGTCTTGGGACGGCTCGCATTGCATCCTAGTAGGACAGTTTGCGCTACAGATGGAGATTGTGTCCGTAAATTATGCCCAACATAACATTGCAGCGCAACATAAAACCTTTTTTTTTGGGGGGGGGGGTTCTTTGCGCCTCACCTTATAAATGAGTATAGGCCCACATCGGTTTGGCAATAAAAATAAGATAATGTGATGTCGTTTCGGAAGTCATGCTTGAAGTATCGGTTTGATGCTTGTTAACTTCAGCAACGTTTCAAGGTTGTGGATTGTTGATTGGAAAAGACTATCTCAACAACACGTTCGTCTGTCATTTTTCAATCGAGAATGAACCATGTAATCACATTAATTCCTATCATTTCAAAACTCTATGTACACAAACTCATTATTTCCACATGAAATAAGACGTTGCAAGTATTTAACTCAATTAAATGTTAGAGCGTGGTTGATGCCAATGTTATGTGTTGTATTGCATTTTATCATGATAAGGATGCAACAACAATTGTGTCCTTTAACGATTTTGGCAGAATCAATCATTCTTGTCGTATTTAGGCTACTTACCCACGGTCTTTGACATAGGCCTAGGCTTACTCCAGACTTTGCTTTTGGATACGGTGGTTTCATACTCTCGAAGTACACTGGATACCGTGGCAAATGTAGCGAGGAACGGTACGAATATTAAGACGAGGAGCACTGTTATCAAAATCAGCCAGCAGAGAACGCACTTGAAAGAAAGCGACATCATGACAGTTGGTTCCCAATGTACTGATGCACGAATGGGCACGGAAAGGCAGTAGTTAGTTGTGCTTGTTATGTCCGTTGTATGCAATCCGTAAACGTACATGTGTATACATGCAAGGCGTACTGATGCGCGACGTGCGCGTACGCGTCGATGTCGCGCATTTTGGGAGCGCGCACGCGCAAGTGCATTCACACAGTTCCCATCAAGGTGCGCGTGAAAAAAAAAAATCGCGTTTGTGACACGCGCGCATCCGGCTTCAGCGCGCTCAACGGGCCGTTTCTCAAACCTCGGCTCAGTTCCAGACTCGGCACCAGGATTCGGGCTTTGTGATCTTGGATTTGGCCCCGGATTTTGATTTGAATGAATTGGCTCATGATGAAACTCTTTTCTGCTTCAATCCATAAAAAGAGAGATGTTGGAGTCTTTTCATTTCGTTCTTAAAAATCGGTTCTTGGGATGGAGACAAAGCCAAAGCTTGAGAGGACTCCGATGTTTTGGAAAGGCCCACGGAAGAAAACACGGGCTTATGGAGCCTGGTGTCATCCAGAAGATCCTTATTTGAAACAAAGCTCTATTAATATTGTTTTCCCCGTCACTTTACCGATGGACCCTTAGCTTCCAGTCTGTCAATTAAAAGTGGTGTGCATAGACCAACTTGATCACTGATTTAGGTCAGGTGACCTCAGCACGGTACGTGACACTCAATGATAAAGCACTGAAGGGAATAGTAACAACTGAGGCTGTAGTAAACCAAACATGGCAGGCGCGGATCCAGGGGGGGGGGGGGGACCCAGCTCTGTCAAAACAATTGTTTTCACAGAAATTCATTAAAATTAATGCGAACCACACCCCCACCCCGCTCTTACATGCTGGTAATAATGTCCGCCCTTGCAAAAAAAAATTCGGACAGAGCCAGCTTGGTTAGGAGGGTATTTGTACACTAGTCAGTAAAGTGTTAATAATCGTCGGATATGAATAGCGCTCCAAATTGAAAGTATGGTAAGAGCCCCCCCCCCCCCCCCCCCCCCCACACACACACCTATTGATATTATGGAGGCCAAGTGTCCGGACAAAAATCCTGTTCACATTTTAGCAATGATTTTCTGATGAAATCACCCCCCCCTCCTGCAAACATTCCATGATCCGCCCCTGCATGGGCGGGGCTGGTGGCTTAACTGGAACAGTTCATGTTTTTAAGCTCAATACGTTTGTATTTGCAAATAAAACGCCTGAAAGATTAACCCCTGAAAGCCAGTTATAGTGCAATGCACGTAGGCCTAAAATAATTAAACAAGGACACTTATGGTTTATTCACTGGTTGTACCATGAACAATTGTTTGCATTTAGTTCTCTGGCTCTTCAATCCCACTCGAATCGAAGGTTCTTTTCATTAGTATATTTGGCCATGCAATGCAACCGCTATCGATAGTTGAATATGGCGTCATCACCACCAGCCTCTCGATCAATCAGAGGGAAAAATGTTGTCCCACGTGACACCTCATTTGCATAAAGTCAGGCAGTCACTGCACAATGAACAGTGATTAAAAAGGCGGCATGCAGACAACTTTATACTTTCGGTAAAACGGGAGTCGAAACGAAGATCGGCCGGCTATTCCTCGAATGACCGAATGAAGAATCTAGAGCTTATCAAATAATATCAGTCTTTTTAATGTAAGTATTATTATCAAGATGCATTGTTTACGGCTACGTTGTACGTGAAAGGACTTACTGAATTATGATTCAGTTAGTGACTCGGAGGAATATATGAGTCTGGTCCCTTTGACCCAGTGAATCTATACTACAGTTTTAAAAGATTGTAAAGAAAATATTCCTCCAGTACATTTTCAAATGCGAGTCTTTCTAATTTTAAGCATCATGTTATCATCTCTTAATCTGTTTTGTTTGTTCCTTCAGAACACCGGCCTCCCGAATCCATTGACCACCAACTTCCGACTGCCGTCCCGCCATGAAGACGCTAGACGAAACTTACTACGTCCAGGCGCTGGAGGCGTTCATCGAGCGATGCGACCAGGAGCAAGTGACCTTAGCCTGGATCCGGGCCAAGATGCCGTCCTTGCTCAAGGCCGTCCGGTGGCCCGTCAGCACGGCCGAGGTGGTCAGCGTCGTCGGGGTCGGCTCCGGGAAAGGTGAGTTCCAGCCTTGAAGCTGGTATTTCGTGCTCTGCTGAAAATTTAAATTCCATTGCCCATGCTGTTGGATATAATCTATCATTGAACCGAAAAAAAACCTCCAGCAACTCTAAATTATATTCTAAAAAGAAAAAAAAACTCCCGAGTCAGCTTGACCGGTAATCCGAGTAGGGCTGCGCATCGGAACCGGATACCCGAATATCCGACTGTGACAGGAACCGGTTCTAGATGAAGGGATTTGTACCCGTAACCAACTCTTCAAATTTACTTAGTCACTTCTCAGACAATGAAAAGCAAAGGGTTTGAATGTCATTTGTGGGAAATGTTCAAAGTGAAAATCAAACTGTACATGGAAACACAAAACAGATTCACGTTATGACGCTTATGAAAATGCAATTTACACAGTAACAATAAACTGTACACACTTACTTGTATCTTACCGTATTGCCTTACTATGAAGCCCGGGAAGGATCAGGGTGGCATTTTTTTTTTTGGGGGGGGGGAATTTGCTAATTCGTTCGCACGAATTCCTAATTCGTTCGCACGAATTACTAATTCGTTCGCACGAATTCTTATTTCGTTCGCACGAATTCCTAATTCATTCCCACGAATTCCTAATTCGTTCGCACGAATTGCTAACTCGTTCGCACGAATTGCTTTTTCGTTCGCACGGATTGCTATTTCGTTTGCACGATTTTCCTAATATCGTGGGAACGAATTGCTAACCCGTGCATCCGGGAACGCGTTAGTAATGCGTGGGAACGAGTTGGTAATTCGTGCGAACGAATTAGCAATTCGTGCGAACGAATTAGCAATTCGTGCGAACGAATTAGCAATTCGTGCGAACGAATTAGCAAATCCCCCCCCCAAAAAAAAATTCTACCCTGTCCCTTCCCGGGCTTCATACCTCACCGATGTGGCAGTATTGTCGAGCGGACCTTTATGAACACTCTGTACAGCAACTTTCAAGATTTAAATGATGGGGTTGCGTTTCTTTATCGGGTACCCGGGTAACCGTGTGTTTTTCCCCTTCAATCGGGTACCCGATTCCCGTACATGCACCGTCCTAAACCCGGGTTCCATTTGGCGTAACCCTTATCCGAGTAAAAAAAAAAAAAAAACCGGGCCAACAATGAAATTTTTCTAAAAGTTATCATTGTGTAACAGGTGCGATGAAGCATTTTCCTTGATATATCACAAATGTGTCCCTTTCTTTAATCTCCAAACCCATTTTCCAACTCGTACGAGTTAATATGTCATTTTTAGTTATGCATGTTTGGCTTTTACAACCATTTTGGTTGCTTTTACGCAAAAACAGATACGCCTGCTCGTACACATGGTTCCAGGTCTCAATATTGTTTATTATTGTGGTTTTTTTTTTTTTTTTTTTTTTTTTACAAAGTCAGGGTTATATGACACAGACCATACGGTCCATTTAAAATTCACTCGCCGGAAAAAAAATGTATGATAAAAAAGGACTAATTATAAAATTAAAACAAAACAAAACAAATTTAAAGCGGAAAAAACTTGAAACAACGAGATATAAAAACCAATATCGGTCAAAACAAGAAAGGTTAATAGGGCTGTAAAAAAATAAAAATAAACATATAAAATATAGAAATACAAAAATATATATAAAAATATGATCGATTCCCATAGGCGGTCTAACCTGCACGCTAGCATAACCTGCATAAATTCTAGCAATTAAAAAATCATGGTTTTCCGGTATATGAAAACAGGACAGACTGAAACAATACATCTTTAAATACGGACAGTCAATTCACGTATTAGTGCTAATGCAGTTTGACGCTTAGAACTTTGAATCTTTTTTACATCAACATTTTTGGAAGGCCCATTCTTTTGCGATTCCTTTTATTTGAGAGCTGTAATTCATCCGATGCTTCAAAATTAGGAATCAAGTCATTTTACCCATGGCATAATCCAAAAAGCATCGATAGCATGCAAAGTTGGATTCAACCAAATGCATGCATTTTCAAGGCAACAGAATTTCAAATTAAGTTGGGTGCGTTAACATCGTACAGCCTTTTGAATTTTCAGCTCAGTGGATACCATAATAGTTTTAGGAAACTGAAGAAAAAAAAAAGTCACACAATTTTTCCGGTCTTCAAGTGGTTTCACGGTTTACACTAGCGCTTCAAACTAGTAGGTTGGCGTTTCATATTATTTTGAATTCGGGCGATTCACAATGCAGTGCGCCACCAAGAGTTTGTCACGGAGAGTTCGTTTTTCAAGTTTACGGTCGACAAAACATGGCCCATTTGAACGAGTGTCAGTAGAAAACTTGAGCTAACTTTGTATAGATTGGGGCATTACGTTCTGCCGCCTTTCAAAATAACTCCATATTGATAAAACGAAAAGAAACGGGCAAACACTGGATACTCGAATCATACGCTTACGAACTTTCTGGCCGGAAAAACTAACAATTTCAAATGTCCCGCGCTGTGAATTTGTCGACCATCTCCCACAATGCACTGGGAAAAATGAACTCTCCGTGGCAAACGCTTGGTGGCGCACTGCATTGTGAATCGCCCGAATTGCTCCCACTCGTGTACAATCCCATAAAATAACACTCCCTCAATTCAGCTGATGACTGTATGTCAAACTTTAAAACTGCGCAAAAAAAATTGCAAACCACCTTCAATGATTAGTTTTTTTCAAGTGATACCATTTCGGGCGGAAGAATTTCACAGGGTATTTGGTAACAGTCAAGGGCTGATCCAGAACACTTTTTTTGAGGGGGGGGGGGGGAAACAAAATTTGGTTCCCCAAAAAGTGGGTCCAAAAATTACGGCGAGGGGTTCGGGGCCCGCTCAAGGGGCCGTAACATTTTTTAGATTCTAAATGCTCTGTGGTGCGATCTGAGGCAATTTGTGACCACTTCAACAATTTTCTTTTTAGGAAAAGATGGTGGATGCAGTGCCTGCCTTTATTGCGAACAAAAAAGTGGGTTCTTTTTTATGGGGGGGGGGATGACCTCCGTTGCCCCCCCCCCCCCCGCCCCCGATCCGCCCTTGGTGCCAGTACTGTCTTCACTTCGAACACGGTTTTTCTCATTAAATTGGTACCTTCATTTCTTGGTAATTATCAAAATGTTATACGTGCATTTGAAGATCACAGGAGGAGTTCAGCAGTATATGGCAGATAATCGCTATTAACTAAACTGTGTGGTGCATAAAGGATTAACTCATTCTAAGAAAGGCACACCAAAGAAAACAAGTACGTGTCACTTGATGTCACCACATCTTTCTGTATAAAATCAGTTGCTTACACAAAATTAAAGACCTTTGGGGTTTGGAAGTAGCAGAGACGCCCTCAACTTCGAATTTATTAACTTAATTTGGCCTTGCATGCAGGCATAATGGACGTGGACGTACTCAAACTGGTGCAACAAGAGTGCCCTGAGAATCCCCTTCACTGTATCGGAATCGAGCCCAATCCGGACGAGCTGGCGCGGTACAAGAAGACAGCGGCCGGGGAGAAAGACTTTGCCCTGGGAAGCACCACCTTCGAGTGGCACGAAAAAATCTCAGAAGAATTTGAGGTGGGTATCGTTTCGGTTTGCAGTAATACCATGTGGTAATAACTACTGCTTAGAAGATATTTAGTTCTGAAAAGAACTTGTCCTGCTTATTATCAACTTTCGCTGAGTAGTTTGTGTTCTGATAAGAACAGTCATGCTTTAAGTTCTAAAAGAACTTGTCTTTTAGAATTTGAGGTGGGCCTATATAGAATTTGTTTTTCTCTCAGCAATATCTGTAATGGTAAACTGACGAGTTTACTCCCTTATGTTTACATTGTATTTTATTTTGTCAGACCTGCACTGGATATCCGCTCGATTAAACATTGAACCATTCACTTATAGTGTGTCGCAAGCAAAACTGTCATCAAGCGTTTACTTTGACAAACGTTATATGAACCATTGGAATGTAATTTATTTTGGTGCAATCCTTGAAATGCACCATTGTATCCCGTTCAACCTTACTTTCAGTTATCCTTTTGCAAGTTTCAAGGTTATATCGGTGCTTTTTCGTGGGTTTTTTTTATGCTAATGCGAATTTTCATGTTCATGAGGAGTAGTATGATTTTCAGGCAGAAACCTCAATGTTACAGCTACTTCATTTTCTGTCGTACATTTTCTTTTCTGTGGCGATTCGTTGTTGTGTCAGCACATGGCAGGAAGCCAATGAGCAAACTTTTCTCAAAAATATTGTCAAGTTGCATTTTTTTGTTGTTCACAATTTAAATAGAAAACCTCTGTACAGTTTCTTCCTAAAATGATATCACAGCAACAGCGCCCTCAGTTGCCCGGAAAATGATGGACAATGAAGGTTTTAAGAAGTGCACTGTTCAATAAGATTAACCAAAAAGGGATGTGAAATAGTAGAGGATTAGAAAGTTGCACAAAATGTGTTCCTAGGAAAAAAAATCATCTCATGAACCCTATAATCATAAATAAGTCGTAAACAGTGTGACTAGTGAACTCAAGGTTACTTCTGTACATGAGGAGGGGTGGGGGGGGGGGGGTGACAACAAATGTGCCTACTGACCATCCGAGCTAAACGGTAGGCAGGATTGTTCTCCCGGTCATCTGGCCTCCGTAAAATCCAAGGGGGGGGGGGAACAAACAATCTTCCAATGGACTTCATTTACGAGTCGGCCATATTTAAATTGAAAACGAGGTAAACTCATCAATTTTGGAGCTTGCGAGTAGAAATGAAAGCAACTAATTAACAGTGCATTACAAATTAATACCAGTCTGCTCTGATGAAAAAGTCTGCTCTGAAAAAAAAATGGAAAGTGACTATTCTATTAAAGTGACTAACTATTCTAGTTATAAAATAGTCTGCCATCATCCTATTCAACAATCTACAATTTATAAAATAGATTCCGGGAACACGATCGAAATGGCTTCCTTGTGAATGAGATCTATAGGGGTGCAGACCAGTAAATCGGTCCGAAATTGCCTACGCCGGCCAAATCATGATTTGCATGCCCTCAAAATCTTCAGTATTTGAGCATACTGTGGGCCATGAACTAGAGGGTTTGTAAAAAAAACATGGGTGGAAGCCGTGCACAGGACTGTGAGCTTGTAGTTCCGTTCAAATTGGATGAAATTAGGGCCCTAAAAGCGCTCTATTTTGCAATCGAGTGTAGGCATCGTTTTTCAAAATGGCGATGGGCTTCAGGACTATTTTAAGGGGTAATCATCTTCGGATGGACATTTCTCCTAAAAGTCATCAGTTGACCCCCCGTAAATTGAAACGAAAATGACAGATGATGAAATAAGCTTTATTTTGATATGTGTCTCGAATACATTGGAGAGTTGTGAGTATTTTCCCCGAATTTCTGAAATAAGCGCATTTATCATTGGGGTCAATGGAAGTTTATTTACTGGTCTGCAACCATAGGGTGTGCTGTTCAAAGCGGACAATTATGGGCACTATCGGAATATAGGTGGCGGTCTTCATCCCGGCACATTTGCCGATCCGTGTCTTTTAACAAGACACTGGGTTAAAAAATAGGTATTACAAATCCGAACGTATTTCTTGAAAGAAAAACGTTGAATATAGGGTTTAAAAAAATGGAAACGTATTTTCTCAAAATAAAAAGGCAAACATATAGGCCTAGCTATATTGGACTTTTTTTTAGAAACCTTCTTTAAGTGGCTTCATGATATATTTTCTGTCATTTCCCCTCTTCGTTTGTTCATTATAGAGTTTGTTACCAAGTCGACCTGACAGCCGATATCACGTGATCCACATGTTCCAGATGCTGTATCACGTGCGTGACATGGAGGAGACCATTCAGAATTACTACAACAAGCTGACAGAGGGCGGTCTTATGGTCATCACCATTGCTTCCAAAGGTACACCGATCTTTGGAGTGAAGTTAAGAAAACTGTCAATAAAATAAATAAAATTGGAAAACATTGAATGATTAGTAATGAAAGGGACTATGCTTGAACGATTTGTTCTGAATGACGCTGTATTTCAGCTACATTGTGCATTTGGAATCTGTTCCGTATTTAACTCTTAAAAAAAGCCAATACTTACTCTTGTTGTCGTGTGTAAAAATACGAGGATAATTGGTGTGATGTTTCCTGATGGATATCAGGCGCGGATTCGGGGGGGGGGGGGCGAACCCTCTCCCAGCTCTGACTTAATTGTTTTTGAATAGAAATACATACAAGATTATGTGAACCCCCAGCTCTGACACCTCCAAAATGTTGGTAATAATACCTGCCTGTGCACAAAATTCGGACAACGTCAGCAGGGTCACGAGGGTATTTCTTCGCTATTCTGTATTATAGTGTTAATGTGTTAATGATCGTCAGAGTTGAACAGTGCCCCCATTAAAAGTATGGATCGAGTCCCCTCCCCCAAGGCCCCCCCCCCCCCCACCTATTGATTTTACGGAGGCCTAGTGTCCGGAGAGTAAAAACCTGTCTACATTTCAGCATTGACTTCCTGATGACCCCCCCCCTGCAAACATTCCTGGATCCGCCCCTGGATATCTCACGATCTCAACTATTCAGATGAGTCTAGTTTTTGTGCTACAACTTTCACGGTACTTTGAACTGCATTCTGCAATTAAATTTGTTCTATGTGATCACGGCCAAAGGACTGATTATTCAAAGAAAAGCGCTCAGGAAAATATTATTGAAGCATGACACAAAAACAAAGGACAAAGACACTAACAGCGTGATTTGACCCTTGAGTGGCCACACTTTTTGTTACAGGGCAGTTTTCATAGAGAATTTCCCGAACGAGGCACATTTTATCAGTGGCGGGGGGGGGGGGGGGGCTTGACCTACATTTTGTCTAGCCCCCCCCCCCCAAAAAAAAAAATCCATAAAAAAATTGCACTACCCAAATGTAACAATGTGACGTACATGCGAACGGTTTACCCCTAAATAAATAGTCGTGAGAAGGGTGCATTTGTACACTTTGTAGCATGATTGTAGGATTTGATCAGCACTCCCCATTGAAAATATGGCACGAGCCCCCTCCCCCCGGAGGCCTAAGTGTCCGGAGAAAATAACCGGTCTACATTTCAGCACGCCTCCCTGAAACAAAAAATCTGGATCCACCCTGCTAGTCCCCCCCCCCAACCCCCCCCCCCCCCCCCAAAAAAAAAATTGCTCTAGAGCCGCGCCTGGACTCTGTCTGTGTACATAAACTGTTACATCAAAAAGACTCTGATGTTGATTTGGCATATATTTTTAAAACTTTAAACTTGTCATGCGCATTTGTGGTCTAGAGCTGTCCATGGATTTTACGGCTGCTGTGGGAATATCTGTAGGGTGTCGCTTCTGGTTGCTTTGTTCACTAAGGGTCTTCAAAATATGTCTTGCAAACAGCAACAAGGCCCTTTTTTTTTTTCTCACCCCAAGACGGAAACGACCTCTTGAAGGCATTCGACGACTACGAGTCCACCATCCCAAACCTCCACGACCTTCCCGCGCAGAACATGAAGCGGTACAGCGACGACGTCTTGCCGATCCTGCGTCGCATGGCTATCCTCCACCATTCGGAGACAGTGTCTTATCAGGTAACACCCATGGCATGCCACAAAAACCCACTATATTAGGTCGCATCAGAGGGCAACAAGCAGTAGAAATAGCAAGCTACCAAAGGCAATGTAGTAGTAAATATTTTACATTGTTTAAAAGGCATTTTTTTTTAATTACATAGGGACGTATATGCCACCGATTCATGTGCATGTGTTTGTCCCCCCCCCCCGAAAAGATTTGTTTCAAGGCCGTCATTCGCTCAAATATGGATTATTCTGGCCAACTTCACGAAGTTTTCAATCAAAATTAATGCCTGTCTCGCACCGGCTCAAAGCTATGATAATTACAGGAAATATACAAAACATCAAAAAATGAAATGATAAAATTATCACGAAATACCGAACTTGATTGCTAGAAAATGACAGTCTAAAGCATCCTGTAGAATCGTGGCTCCTGGTGTGCTGACATTTTCAAGAAAACTTGTATTTTTCCAACGCTGGTCGGCCGACCGGCGTTGGAGAAAACCTGCTTTTTCAAAAACTGTTCTTAATTTTACATATTTAGTTATACCGCATTTTCTTTGCAATTGATTACACACCTGTTAAGGGGTACAAGCCTGCTAGCCTGATCCTCTGACTTTACAATTCCCCAGAGTCTATTAATTGCTCCGTTTCATCTTAAGTGGGGTCAGGGAGCCAGACTACAACAACATGATAGGTTTTCTTGGTTTTTCCAGCATCTGCAAGCCCAGTTTAACAATAAAGTCAGTTTAATAATATTTGCTATAACATACTAATCCTCCAAATCCATTTATTTCTGAAAATTGCAGCAAAAGCAAATGTTTTACATTCCCTTTAAAGTACAAAACGCTGTACAAATCAAGCCAGGGCAAACTTATATAGGTCTGAGCTCTAAACGCCCAGTTGGCACCAAGGTGTCTGATCGCTTCTCAAAAGAGAGAATAGTACATACATGTGTATCTTGATCAGAACTAATGCCAGTAGCGTATACGTATCCAGCTTTTGATGTCAGGGGTGCATCCGCACATCAGCGCCGAAATGTAGACATGTTTTTGTTTGCCTCGAGACACCTTGCCTCCGTCAAATCTAAGAGTGTGGGGGGTTGGGGCGTGGGGGGGGGGGGGGGGAGGGGGGGTGGTACCCATCTTCCCAATGGGGGCGCTCTTCAACACTGACTGTTATTAGGCCAAACAAATATTCGGTCTCTGGTCAGACCAAAGTTCCAGAATTGACGCGGGGACGCGGCTTTTTTTTTTTTTTTTTTTCTTTATTTTTCTTCAAGCTTGGATTGTACAGACAAGGTGGGGTACTGTTTTGCTTTTTTGGTGTCCTCATGTACATTGGTGTCTAGCTCCATAATTTGCCTTGGTGCTCTCGATCATTTGCCTTGGTGCAATTTTCCCATTCCTTGGTGCTGTTTGATAAAAAAAAATTGAGGTGGTGTGGCAATAGAGGGCGCTGTTGGAGCAACCGCGGAACATTTTGGAAAAAAAAAAAAGATTGACGCGCATGATTAAATTCGACGCGCGCGCTGACCAGAGACCGACTTATTTATTTGTTTTTGGCCTTATGCATTCTGCAAATTATTATGCCCATTTTCACGGCGCATTGTAATGTTTTTTGTGCGGGTTTTCCTTTTGGGATTGATGTCAGAACTCTCTCACCATTTATTGATAAGTGCTGAAAATAGTTCCCCCCCCCCCGCAGGTTATTTTTTTTTTTCGGAAAGGTTTTCCATTCCCCCTCCCCCCCCCCCCCGCCCCCCCCCAAAAAAATCTGCTAGTTTGCAGGATCGTCCCAAGCAAGGATATAAAAACCACTCTTGGCAAAGGGATAGAAATAAGAAAATATGACGAAAAAAAAGGAAAGCTGGAAGTAGCAATTGGAAATCAGGCTAGATTATAGAATGGAGGGAAACACGCACTAGGCAAGAAGTTCCAAAGAGACGCAACACGTGGGATAAAGCAATTAGAGTAGCTCTTCGTTCTACATCTCGGCGCAGCTAGAGTGTATGGATGAGAGGAAGCAGAGAGCCTGGTTGCACGCTCAAACATCCCGACAGGAGGAACCAAGTCAAACAAACTGATGGAACAACTTGCATGCCTGATTATAGTAACTCTTGGTTCTACATCTCGGCGCAGCTAGAGTGTATGGGTGAGAGGAAGCAGAGAGCCTGGTTGCACCCTCAAACACCCTGACAGGAGGAACCAAGTCAAACAAACTGATGGAACAACTTGCATGCCTGATTATAGTAACTCTTGGTTCTACATCTCGGCGCAGCTAGAGTGTATGGGTGAGAGGAAGCAGAGAGCCTGGTTGCAACCTCAAACACCCTGACAGGAGGAACCAAGTCAAACAAACTGATGGAACAACTTGCATGCCTGATTATAGTAACTCTTGGTTCTACATCTCAGCGCAGCTAGAGTGTATGGGTGAGAGGAAGCAGAGAGCCTGGTTGCACCCTCAAACACCCTGACAGGAGGAACCAAGTCAAACAAACTGATGGAACAACTTGCATGCCTGATTATAGTAACTCTTGGTTCTACATCTCGGCGCAGCTAGAGTGTATGGGTGAGAGGAAGCAGAGAGCCTGGTTGCACCCTCAAACACCCTGACAGGAGGAACCAAGTCAAACAAACTGATGGAACAACTTGCATGCCTGATTATAGTAACTCTTGGTTCTACATCTCGGCGCAGCTAGAGTGTATGGGTGAGAGGAAGCAGAGAGCCTGGTTGCACCCTCAAACACCCTGACAGGAGGAACCAAGTCAAACAAACTGATGGAACAACTTGCATGCCTGATTATAGTAGCTCTTGGTTCTACATCTCGGCGCAGCTAGAGTGTATGGGTGAGAGGAAGCAGAGAGCCTGGTTGCACGCTCAAACACCCTGACAGGAGCAACCAAGTCAAACAAACTGCTGGAACAACTTGCATGCCTGATTATAGTAGCTCTTGGTTCTACATCTCGGCGCAGCTAGAGTGTATGGGTGAGAGGAAGCAGAGAGCCTGGTTGCACCCTCAAACACCCTGACAGGGGGAACCAAGTCAAACAAACTGATGGAACAACTTGCATGCCTGATTATAGTAGCTCTTGGTTCTACATCTCGGCGCAGCTAGAGTGTATGGGTGAGAGGAAGCAGAGAGCCTGGTTGCACGCTCAAACACCCTGACAGGAGCAACCAAGTCAAACAAACTGCTGGAACAACTTGCATGCCTGATTATAGTAGCTCTTGGTTCTACATCTCGGCGCAGCTAAAGTGTATGGGTGAGAGGAAGCAGAGAGCCTGGTTGCACCCTCAAACACCCTGACAGGGGGAACCAAGTCAAACAAACTGATGGAACAACTTGCATGCCTGATTATAGTAGCTCTTGGTTCTACATCTCGGCGCAGCTAGAGTGTATGGGTGAGAGGAAGCAGAGAGCCTGGTTGCACCCTCAAACACCCTGACAGGAGGAACCAATTCAAACAAACTGATGGAACAACTTGCATGCCTGATTATAGTAGCTCTTTGTTCTACATCTCGGCGCAGCTAGAGTGTATGGGTGAGAGGAAGCAGAGAGCCTGGTTCCACGCTCAAACACCCTGACAGGGGGAACCAAGTCAAACAAACTGATGGAACAACTTGCATGCCTGATTATAGTAGCTCTTGGTTCTACATCTCGGCACAGCTAGAGTGTATGGGTGAGAGGAAGCAAAGGGCCTGGTTGCACGCTCAAACACCCTGACAGGAGGAACCAAGTCAAACAAACTGATGGAACAACTTGCATGCCTGATTATAGTAGCTCTTTGTTCTACATCTCGGCACAGCTAGAGTGTGTGGGTGAGAGGAAGCAGAGAGCCTGGTTGCACGCTCAAACACCCTGACAGGAGGAACCAAGTCAAACAAACTGATGGAACACTTGCAAAGGAAATAAACTGTAGAGCCAGCCTGAGTTATCTCGTTTCAAAGTTTTTTAGTTGTTAGTAGTGATTTGCAATTGCACTCAACATTGGCTGAGTATCAATTTTCATCAATTTGGAGGTGTTTTCTAGCTTAATTGCCGCGCCTGGAAGTTCTGTTTCATTGCTGTTATTATTGTATTATCATTATTACCAGGTGGATGTCTCCGAGTGTTTTGTGGACGGCTCACTGGCTGGCAAGATGCTCCTGGATTTCATCTGCCTGACCAACGCCACCTGCGTCTATCAGAGCCTGGCCGAGAGCGACCGGTCCGCCCTGCTGAACAGCATGAGCAAGTACTGCAAGGCTGGCATCGGGGAGGACGACAGAGGGCGCCGTATGCTCACCCTGACCTTTGACTGTATCACCTTCTACAAGGGCAAGCATGCGCAGTCGGTTTGTAATGGCGTGGCGTAGAGGTGGGGTCTAACTTTGTCCGGGGTGAAAAACATTTCACCAGCAAAAACAATATGGTTTTACTCTTCCATTCTGATACAACTGCCTGACAAAAATACTATGTGATCGAAATGCTGTTTATTTTGAAAGGGTATGCATAGGCCTATACAAAGGTGCAGGGACGGACATAGGATTTGGGAAGGGGAAGCGGCATCCAAACTTTAGTGTTTCTACCCCTATCGAGTATATATAAGTGTAAGATGTTTAAAACTATATTTCTGAATTCTTGATGTCGTTTTCTAGATTGTACCTCAAAGCCTCCATTTTTAAACTTGTTGAGGACTACTGTATGGTGAAAATGAAGATATTTTATATTTTGAACCACATGCCGCCAATTTATTAACAGAATATATTGGGTTGTTGTGAGGGAAATTATTAGTGAGCAATCGAGTCGCGTTGACCCACAGTATGGGCCTTATGCACTCTAGTTGGCCATTTTTGTCGAGTTCCCTGAATGTATTTCATTAATTGTTAACTGTTGAATGGGATGGCGCCAGACTAGGCATAATACAGCCTTATTTTACTGTCATTTTTGTTTGGTATGGCTTTAAACATTGGGAAAATGTTTAATTACACATTTGAAATTATTATTTGAAGCAGACTGCATGGAATCAATAAGTAATTAACTTGCTTTCATTTCTCTGCGCAAGTTCCAAAAATTAAGATTTTACCTTACTCTCAATCCAATATGGCCGACTCGTGCCTAAGGCCCATATGTCTTCAATATCGTACCGATAGGCCAAATGTCACAGGGCTTATATCATGTGCCTTTCCGTCTACTGATTTCAATGGTTGAGAATGATGCAGACTTTCATGGTAAACGTTAATGTTGGTATAATGGTTATGGACTTAATTCCCTTTGAGCGCCATTGTATAGGTCGGACATGTTGCTTTCAACCGTACTGGTTGCCAAGTTGAACAAGCTTCCACGTTGCACGGCAGTGGAACGGGGAGTATCATTTTATGAAAGTTTATTGGAAGCGTCTGTAATTATCTCCGCCAGGAAGTTATGCTTTCATCGGATTTGGTTAGTTTGTTTGTTGGTTGGTTGGTTTGTCTGTTAACAAGATAACTCAAAACGATATGGTCAGATTTTCGTGAAAATTATTGTAGGGGTGGCCCTTCGTACAAATTGATTAGATTTTGGAAGTGATCCGGATCTGGGTCTGGATCCAGGATTTGATTTAAGAATCTTCACCATTTTATGCGAGTATTTCTTTTGGGTGCACTGACAATATGGCGGGAAATAGTTTAGCCTTGGCGGAGGTTTGCGCTCTCTGAGTGCTTACTAGGTTCTTTATTGTTGTTTTGGTGACGTGAATTTATTTCGGTTACTTGTTTCTGAATTCTCCTTGCAACGACGACAGCCCAAACACCGTAAACCGCCGGTTGGCTTAAAAGATCATTACAATGGTTAGAGCGCCCCCATGAGATTTAAGGGTCAAACGAGGTGCTTGAGATACCATACCCACCCATTATTGATGTTTTATTTTTTATTTTCAAATGTATTAATTTTATTCCTATGTTCTGCAGTTTGCGCCTCACGTCTTGTATCCTATAAAACATTCAAATTGTTATCAAAGATACTGGACAAAATCAATTTTGGGTGGACAGTATTATTGTGTGTCATTGTTTGAGTTTATTATTATAATTGTTATTACGTTGTGACTTATACTTGTATTCTGACAGCGATTTGTAAAAACGTAGGCCTAAAAATAGAATTAAGTAGACTAACATTTGTGACCGGCTCCACAAATAAGGGTATTATGTCGCGAAAAGGTGAAATGGAGTTATATACATGGTTTGAAAGCACACAATGTAAGCTTTCATTTATAGCAGAGCTCCATAGATCCCGTTCTGGGGATATGACTCATTTGCATATTAATTACTTCCTTGGAGTTCAAATTGCACAACTGTGAAAACAGGCATAAAATGAAAATTACATTTTGACGAAATTTTCACCCTTTCAATGTTGAGCGGTCCATAATAATGACAATGCTCAATAATAATAACAATAATGCTCAGCGCGACTTAATACCCTTTTTGTAGAGCCGGTCACAATTATGTAATTTTTTGCATACTTTTATCTTGCATGCTTATTCAAAAGTTACTTTTCTTTCGCCCCATATGCCTACACATACAGTAAGTAGTCTGGTTCCCCGACATAAAGAGTCTTAACTATCTTGACGAATCTAAGGTCAGGTAGGGGGCGGTATATAGTTAGTGCAAGATTCCTTCTGTTTTGAGAAGATTTCCGAAGTTTTCCGAACACGTTTTATTCCGACAATCGTATATGCTCGCGATTGTATTTGTTGCCAGTCATGGTCATGCTTTTTATCAAACAAAACTCGTCAAATGAAAACTCATAGAAATTATAAGCGCCCTGGAGCAGGGCGGTGGGTACAAGCGAAACTCGGCCTTCTATCTATTAAGAGACGTCAGGGGGTAACGGTCAGGGAACCAGACTATCGTATGATTATAAAAGGTCACATGCCTTTTTGTTGGTCAACACCTGTACACAAAATATTTGTATGGCTTTTTTGTTTACTACATCAGTGTTGTCAACTTTTCCATACACTTCTCCCACATAATAGAAGCTATGATTTGGATATTTGTTGATTGTATTATGTAAATAATCAAATGGAACGATAACCGTAATGAATTTTTCCTCTTATTATTATTTCATCAGCGTTTTTATTAAGATTTAGGAACCGGAAAATCTCGAAATGAAGAATTCAAAGGTTTCATGAATGCAAATGATCAGAACATTAGAGAGTTGCATGTGTTGTTTTGATGTCGAATCGTTCCTTTGTCGAAGTGGTGAAGGGAATCCTTTTGTTTTTAGCGGTGCAGAAATTACCGTACGGTGACAGATTTTATTGATAGAGAGGTCTGCGTAATGGGGAATAAAGGCTATTATTTCATTGAACACTGTCTTCTGTATAACCTGACGTTATTTTTATAATCTTTTACAAAGACCTATAATCCTAGTAGTTATGACTTCCGAGTTCAACAATTGTCATCGACCCTCGATTAGCAGTATTTATCCATGCCGACTTACGAGCTGTCTGTGAAATAGTCACATGCACGTAAACCGCGTGGTAGTTTGGCTAATAATCCATTTCCATTGTGAATAAAATTGTCTTCTTTGATGCAAATTGTATGGGCATAGCAGCAACCAGTAACATGAAATCACGAGCCGGAAATCACTTTCCTCTTCCGTGAATAACGCCGCCAAATATAACTCTACAATAGTACGGTCAATTATTAGTAGTCACATGCCAGATAAGAGGCCTATTTCACGGAACAACTAAGCACACTTAAATCATCATGAACGCACTTTGTAGCTTTGGTACGAAATACCAGCAGATAGTGCATTAACAATTCTGATCGCAGTACTTTGTGCAAAGTAGGCACAGTTTATTGCCCAGCAATGCCCAGCAAATATTTGCGTGTTATTGCATGAGGTCTATTATGCGTTTTATCGATTAGTTTGTATTCTTTCGTGTCTATCGTCGCGAGTCGGGCGCGGACTGAATGGTCATTTGCAGACCGGAACCAGACTCAGCTATTGCATAGCTCATACAATCACGTGTCACAGTTACTGGTACACCTGTTTGTTCTCGTTCCCCGTTCTTACTGGACTATCGGCAGAAACAGGCAAAAACAAAATCCCGCATATTGATTAACTAAATTTCACCGTATACTTCACGCATCCGGCTCTCACAATTCGTATAGACGTAGGTTTGACGTTGGAATCTGCTGCACGGGTTTACTAAGTAAACGACAAAGAAAGAGACAGCGAATACAGCCATAAATCACGATGCATTACATACAATATGTCCATATCAGAAAATAAAATAACACTGGTACTTACCATTTATTTAATCCTCCAGGTGTAATGCTTCAAAGCCCTTGAACAAAAACAAATAAGTGTTTGGTCCTTGATCAAAACTTTTGAAGGATTACAATTGTAGGATTCAGGACTGTTTAATTGCATCGTGATAACGTCATGACAAACTAAAATGTTCTAAAATAATAGGACTGAAATGTCCTAGAATTAGTTTCTCAGCATTGCGGGCAGAAACAGTTCACTGCAGGGTGTCCCAAATACAAGTTGTGCAAGCAGATATCCTGTAATTTCGCAAAAACTACTTTACATGAGTATTTCATCTTGATGGAGCATATGAATTATTCGCTTGTGTATAATCAGTGAAAATGCCATGGAAATCCGTTCATGCAAACCAGTGATTTAACAGTTTGTAAAAGGCTGAGTTTTTTTTTCACTCATTCCAATGGGATTTACACAGTTAGTGATATCAGCGCATCGGATTGCCTTTTCACTCTGATGTGAATTAAGTTAACTGTGTAAATTCCATCCCATTGGAATGGGTGAAAAACCTAAAGCCTTAATTAGTACAAAAAACCAAGTTTTTGAAGTGGCAATACATTATTTTGTAGTGATATGTTACAATAAAAATGAATACGTACAACACCTTGACAAAATTAAAACACATATGAATTTTTTTTCATGATTTTTGTTACAACAAAACAACAAAACCTATCCTTTAATTTAGTGTCTTCAATGTAAAAGATTTAACAGAAACATGACATGTGACTTTACTGTGACTTGGTGAAAAAGCGACTTAAGACCCGACTGAGTGACTTGAGATTCTATATGACTCGAGAATTTATTATTTTTTTATAGTCTAAAAATTTCCAGATATCGACCTTTGTAAGCAAAGTAAACAAATGAAGGTGATAGTTCACGAACGCCACCATGTGAACCCGCAACTTTAAAATCAATGTACTTCGCGATGTGAGCAAACCCATTGTTTGGAAATGAACAACGTATAGCCTCATTCAAATCAGTGCAACAAGATGCGGGTTGTCTATCTACAATGACCGCATACAGCCTGCATGCAAGTCAGAGATGCATGACGCAGATTGTAGGCCTACGTGTTCTGCTTGGATAGGTTTTCTCGCAAAAGATGCTGGTTGAAGACATAACGCCAGAGAGGAATCACGACGGTTACGGGGCATACATTTCTAACCAAACCACGATTGGAGATAGCAGAAAATGGATTGACGATACAACATTTCCTCAAATTTGGACAATTTGCTGAAACACTTTGATTCCCTGTTTTGGAGTACAACAGTAACTTAAAAGAACGCTGAGGTAAGTTCGTCGCATATTTTTTAAAATGATTTGTTTATTACGCACGACTACACTTTTTTTCCACGGATTGAACGACTTTCATTGCGCATTATGTCTTTGGTTAAGAAATACACATCTCACGTATGCAGATACAGTCAGTATATAATGAATCACCATAATTTTCTTCAAACAATGCGTCCCCGTGCTGTTTAATTAGTTTCACCTCGAATAAATATGATATTTTTTTTGATTTGCTATTTCCTAGAAAAATATACTTTTTTTTCACTTTTTAAAAGAGACATCGATAGAAAAAAAACACTGATGTTAAGTTATTACATTATTTCTTCACAACAATTGCATTATTGGCTGCCAGAAAAAATAATTCGGCTCTCGCAGGGCGGGTTCATTAATTTGTCCGCAACATGAAAACCCCTTTTCAGAGGGTAACAGAGACCTAAAATAGGGGGAGTTTTTTTCGTTAAAACAAAACATACAAATTGAAACAAGAATTGGGAGAAAAAAAACCTTCTGTGAAAAGCACGGGGTTTGCATCATTAAAATCCTATTTAGATCCTATCAGTGTCAAATACAGATGTTTTTTCCACCTAAGCTTCTTTTTCTTTTTCTTCGAAAAAAAGTGTATGCAAATTGCTACTGATCGAGATATACATGATGAGCAAACATACACAAAAAATTAAAGAAACTTGGCGTTGAGGTTTGAGATTTATCTTTATCACACTGGATTTCTTTTTTATGGATGGGATGCTATATATCAAAGATGACTCGATAAATTATTAAGTCAGCCCGTTCAGCAGAAATCTGTAAATAACTGCAGCTACAAGCAATAATACTTGCGTCATACAACAGGGGCGGCTCCAGATTGAGATCAAGACGGGAGGTTTAGCTGTTGAGAAAGGGCTAAGCAGGCATTTGCTATGCGTTCTGTGTGACTTTTCCTCTTTTTTTTGCGGCCATGCGGGGGGCTTAGATCAGCCAATGCCCAAATTCGACATTTCGATGCGCTGGTTCCATTTTCATTTGACACAATTTCTTACTACCCAAGGGGGTGGGGTGAAAATGGATCCCCTACATGGAGATTACGCAGTGGCTGATCTACGGATTGGAGGGGGGGGGGGGGGCTACGTAGATCAGCCACTGCGCACTCTGTAACGTCCCCATATTTATATCACACTCGATTTGTGTGCAATTTGTTCGCAATCAGTGCCCTTCTCCGGGCCTTCACACACTGTAAATAAAGTTGTGTAAAACTTTGCTGGGCAAAGTGATTTTTCAAACATTTGTATGAATTTGCCTTATTGTTGGTTATTCGGGTAACAATAATGGCCAACTTATTGGGAAGAATTTGCCCAAGAGTTTGGGCAGTTGGTATAATTTTATACCAACCTATTTGCCAAATTTTCTTTAGTGTATACATCATGGTTAGGACACGTTTTTAGGGAAACACAATATTTGGACTTCTCCCCACAGGGCTGGACGCATTTGTCATATAGAAACACCGGCCCTTCATCGACCCCAAGCCCCTTCCGAAACGGACGGCGCTGCCATGGCCGAAACTGCCAACTTCACATCCCCGTGGTTCTGCGGCGCGGGTCCCGCCAACGACATCCGCATCCAATCGGTAGACTACCTCCTGCAATCCTGCGTGCTGAACGGCCTGTACTGCCTCCCCCACGCCGCTCTGGTCAGCCTAGCCACCGTGATCCTCATCTACAAGCGGTTCCACGTCCAGGAGGTTACCTCTCTATACTCCCCAATCGCCGGGGCCCTGCTCCGGCTCCGCTATCCGTTCCACGACATCCGCTGGATTTTCCTGTAAGTGTAACCAGTTGCCTTCTTTCCCTATTATTTGGACCTTATTACTGCGCAATAGTCGTAGCCCTGTTGCCATTTTGTTGGTCAATTCATCATGTTACATCAATGCACAAATGTCCAACGAATTTTTGATGATAGCTTGCAATGTTCCTTGGATAAAATCCCTCCTGTTTGAAATGTCAACACCTACACGTATGGGATAAGTGAGATGATCACAGGTTTTCCGCTTATCCGGTGCTCGTAACTTATACCTCTAATTCTGCCTCTGTGCTTATACGAACGATTTATGTGCATACTAGGGCTGTGCACATCCAAAATACGTACGAACAACCGAACTTCTCCAATCACACAAAATGGCAACAAGGCTACTACTATTGCGCAGGCTTATTCACGAATGCATTGAATTGAAAGTGAGGTAAAATCTACATTTTTGGATTTTGCGAAGAGAAATGAAGGCAATGACATAAATTTAATTACACATTATACCAGTCTGCTCTAATGAATAATTTTAATGAATACATTTGTATCAATAGTCTGGCACCATCCCGTTCAACACTTCACAATTAATAAAATACGTTTAGAAAACACGACCAAAATGGCTTTCTGGTGAATAAGGCTCACTAATTAATAAGGCTTATCCTCGACCAATGAGGAGCGCTTTAAGAACGTAAAAATAGATGCGTATACAAAGGTTATCGTCGTTAAATGATATGTTGTAACAATGCAGAAAAAAATCAAACGTGTACAATTTGTATTTTTCAGATTTTAGTGAAGGAATTAAACTGCTTTAAAAGAACGCGATATTTTTTTAGTTATTTATCCAGAAAATGGCGTCATTGCAGCGCACTCACTAGCTAAAAAATATTGTCGATTTTTTTAAATATTCCATGCAGTTTTGCTGGTCCTAGTTCTAATAATTGTAAATAATTTCAAAAAAATAAATCCATCTTGTCCAGAATCGTTTATTAGACAAGAAATTCTTGTTCGTCCAACTGCAGGTGACATCTATCTGCAAGTGTCATTTATGTTTTGTATATCGGAATAAAAAAATATGTTTTCTATATAGGAATAAAAAAAAAAAATCCTTTGGAATTGTCTCAGATTGGCCCTGGCCCTGATGGCCTTCATACAGATCGGGGAGGGAGTTCTGACGGACACGCTGGTCTTGGACGGGAGCGCCCACCCTCAGCTCTTCCTGCCCGGGATACTGGCCCTGGTCGCGTCGATTGTCGCCATGGTGTTCTACAACTACACAGAGCTATGGGACCGGCCAATTATGCTTTTGGTTCAGGTAGGCCTACGCCCAAAAACCAAAATATCCCCATACTACACCTGTTTCCCCTCAGAACCACACCCCTCTGTTAGTTTCAGTCACTTCGCATCGGTGCCGAATTACTTATTCTCATAAAACGTTATCGTGAGATTCTATTCAGTGTGAAGGTTTTTTTTTGTTAGCTGCGGGATAGCAGCTGAACGAATCATCATGTCTCCATAGGCGTAGCCAGCGGGGGGGGGGGGGGGGGGGGGGGGGTTAAAGACTGCATTTTCCATTCAAATGCCCTTTTTTCAACGGGCTTACCCCCACCCCCTCCCCTCTCAATAATTTGTAACGAGTGCCTTTTTTTTACGAAGTGCCCTTTTTTTTAACAAGTGCCCTTTTCAAAAAAGAAGTAGTGTCCTTTTATGTGGCATCTGCAGTTTTGGGTACCTTTTCCAGAATTGCGCACATGTATCTCCCTGAAAAGCACCATATATTGGCCCTTTGTGTGCATCATTGTCGGTTTCGAACAGCGCCCCCATCGACAGATGGTACCAGTCCCCCCATCTTTTATCTCCAAAAAATAATGGTTAAAGTTGTCAGGAATTGCCTCAGATCGCACCACGGAACATCTAGAATCCCATCAATTTGTGGAGCCCTTAATCGGGCCCGGAACTCCTCGCTGAATTGTTGGGACCCACTTTTGGGGGGACTAAAAATTTTGTTGGCCCCCCAAAAATTGTGTTCTGGATCCAACCTTGTCGTATGCTAGTTTGTTTGTAAGGTTCCTTCTTCAGGAAACAAAGAACACACATAAACACACAAGAACTTAGGTATACATGTGTATTGATATTTCTTCCACTCAGTTTGTGTACTGGTTGGCCGCTATCATCATGGAGAAGCTACGGTTTCACGATCTGAGGAAAATCCCCGAGATGAACTTGCTGGTACTGAAGTATGACATCACGCTGGTCATGCTCATGATATACGTCGTGTTTGCCATCATGGACGGCTATCTCATCATCAACCGGGTAAGTCATGTATTTGCTGTTACAACCCCATACACTTGATGCTTGTGACCTGTTTATGAGCCTTCTATAGATACCGGTTCTGAGGTATCATGTTCTCGGGTGTATGATGCACGCAACTCCCATGGAAAACCCTACGTATACTGGTCCTGCCTTCACACACACGCACGCCCCTGTATCACCTGTGGAAAACATGGGAAAGATTATGACTGTGGTACTCACGTGATATAATAAAAATCGTGTCATATCATTGAGCCTTAATGAAAGTGTGTAATTTTTACGTGCATTCACAGATTCTCCTTAGAGGTAAACTCAAGCTGTTGACCTACGGCGGGCGCGATTTTAACGCCGATGCCATGAACCCGGACGTGAAGTACCGTCACCATTACACAAACTACGCCTCCTCGCTGTCCCTCTGGTGGCTCAACCCGCTCTTCAAGAAGGGGTACGAGCGCCCCCTGGAGGTGGCCGACCTGGGCGAGCTGCCCACCCGCTTTAAATCCGAAGTGGTCGTGGACGAATTTCAAGAGGAGATTTCGAAAGATTTGGTGGGTGATTTTAAAAGACGCTAACAATTCTATCACCAATGCCTCTCTTTAATGGAGGTAGCAGTGCGCCAGCTCTTGTGCAGATAATCCATGACAGGGAAGATGTTTTGAATAATAGCGTGCGCAATAGTTTCTCCATTGAAGGGGGCCACCTGAACGTACAGTGATCACAACCGGAGTCGGCTGCAGTTATAGTATACGGTAGGAGGTGGACGTGAGGGTCATCAGACTCCCAAGGGCAGCGGTATAGCCGGGGGTTGCACGCCCCCACCTAAAAATCGTCGCCCCCTATAGGGTTGACGGGTTTAACAGAAATTGGACGCCCCCGATGTAACATTCAGCCCCCTTCTCCTTCCCCACCGCACCCAACCCCGCCCCACCGCTCTCCACTCTCTCTTGTTCGGAGGAGGGGAGTAGTGATAATAGATTGAATTTCTCAATGTTTAAAAGGAGTAGCTCAGTGGCCTTGGCCTTGGCCATATTTGCCAAACTTTCAAATTTCAAAGCCGTTTATGCCTCTTCACATTCTGTATTTTATCACAAGTTAAATAAAATGTTGATATTTTGACGGAATGTATAATAAAAAAAATATAAAGATGAAAATCCCACTGAACTTACACAACTGAAAAGACAATTTGGTCTTCAGTCAATCTCTTCCATTTTCAGTTGATGACCGCCACAATTTCCAGTTATTCTCTTGGTAGCATACCCTTTGCAACATTCAATTCGACCCGACGAAGAAAAAAAATAACGCCGGTCAACACATAGGCCAATGCCTAATCTTACTATTGCGATCAAGGCCAAAATGAACAATTATTCATTTAAGTGGTAGCCGTCTTACTGTGAATAGTTGGCCAAAGTTGAACCCAAATTATTTGTTAGCATGAATCTTGCGAGTTTCACGTTTATATTTTTCTTTGCACAGATAAGAGTGTGTTTTGCTACTAGCCCCCTCTATCTAAATATAATGTGCCCTATCAGAGCGGCGTTGATTTTTGTCAAAGAGTCTTTAAAAACCAGCTACGATAGACTTTTAGCAGTTTTGTTATTATGATTGGTTTCTGTCGTATTTTGCGGTCTCTGGTTTTAACAGATGAGCAAGGACTCAGTCGATATTCACGATGCTAATTTCGTGAAGATCTACGCTAAACTTCACGGTGGTGACAGCGCCGTGGCGGGGGCCCAACGGTTCGCGGCAAACTCGCTTCTACTCACCAGCCCACTTCTACTGCAGAAAATCATCGATCAGATAACACTCGTGTTTACCGATGACCAACAACCGATAGACAAGGTAAGACATTGCCGTCAAAATTCAGCGATAGAGGACCATGTTTTCTTCTCCAGGGTTTGGGCTGATTTCAAAAATCCGTTCCCTGTGCTCGTTTCGGGTTTCAGCCCGAAACAAAGAAATTCCTTTTCCAAATTGCTATTTTTTCTAACAATTCAAATTCATTCACTTTTGAGTGAGATATCGACCGTAAAAAAAAGAAAAAAATCGGCCCATGTTTAGTTATTGATTTATTTCTTTACAATTTCGAATAATGGCTGCCAGACAATATTTCCGTTCCTGTGGGGTAGGCTGGTTTCCGCCCAATAATAAGTATCGATACCGTAAGGACCGGGAACCAGACTGCTTGCAGATCGGATCTGTCTGTTCCAAAAACAAGAGCATTTTTAAGCAGGTTGCAGACGTCGGCTTAAAATAAATAATACAATAACACAAATTGAACATCTATTAACGGAAAGAATCAAATTTGTTGAACAACAAGTGAAACTCAACTTTAGAAGAGTTTTTCTAATCACGAATGCTATCGGCGAAGTTCCGAAATGCCAGCTTGGTTTATTTTAAAATGCAATGCATTATTTTTTTGGTACTTAGGCAACTGGATACATCTCGGTGTCTGACGCCGTTCAGAACGTCTTTGCTCTCGTCCTCTTGCTCTTCATCATCAACTTCATCTCCGTCATTCTTAATCAGAAGCACTCCCAGACGATGTTCCACGTCAGCGCTAAGGTGCGCTCTGCTTTACAGGTGCGTTTTCAGAAAAGAGAGAGAAAAAACACAGACCAGGCAAGAAAAGCTTGAGGCAGAGCGGTAAAAAAAATATTTTCAATTGGTTCAGAGTGGCTATATATTCATAAGCATTTTGGTGTGCACAATGAACCGGATTAAGCCCATTGTGTGGCACGCCTATACAATAGCACTGCCCAGATCTCTTTACCAGCCAACAACCAGGCCAACTCACGCATGACAATGAGTCAGCGAGTCAAACAGTCTGACAGTCAGTGAGATAGATACAAAGAGAACCAAATTCTTTTGGGAGGTTTAAAATTATTCCGGGTACCCAATTGAAAAAAACAACCGGGTACCCAGGTACCCGTTAAAGAAACCCAACCCCAAAATTGAATTCTCGGAAGTTGCTTTTCAGATGGTACATGAAGGTCCACACGATACGTGTATAGCTCCATATGCTACTGTACATCGGTGCGCCAATGAAGCAAACAATGTGTGTAGGCCTACAGTGAGCTTTATAGGTTTTTGGTGAAAACCGCAACTTTCGCAAGCGTCATAAACGTGACATCTGTTTTGTCTTCCCATGTAGCCTGGTTGTCATTTTGAAAATTCCTCACAAATTCCCTTTTTTCATTGCCTGAGATGCACAGCCCTACCTACACCCCCTCCCCAACCCATTTCTCATCTGCTAAAACAAACACATCAAACCAAGAGTCACGTAGGCCTATGTATAATTCAAACATCATTCAGCTTCACTAGTTCTAAAAAAAAAATGGTAAAAATTTTGCTGTCACCTTTACGTGATAGTTTCTCACGTCTTATTTCACTGAGCCTTCCCGGTACCCATAGGGTAAAGTCTCGAACTTGAAACTTGAATAGGTTTAGAATACCCGGCCCTAACTTTTTTTTTCTATCGCCAGGGAACGGTCTACTTGAAAGCACAACAGCTTTCCCCGACGGCGCTGAACAGCAAGGACATGAGCACCGGCAAAATCACCAATCACATCGGCGCGGACCCCATGAACATGCAGCTCTTCTTCATGTTCGTTCATTTCTTATGGACCTCACCGATTCAGGTTAGTTCAGTGAGCTGGGAGCACATTTAGTACGGCTGATAGGTGATAGGATTGTGCCTTTTATGATGGAGTAAAGCAAACAAGCATGGAATTCTGGCACACAGTCAGAGTATGTCACGAGAAAGATATTTGACTATAGGGACATCGCAGATTTGTGCTTTGAAAAAAATATAGGTAGAATAACAAGCAATGGCAGCCATTTTGAATACTATTTTTAAAATGTCTTGTAATTCTACCTATATTTCTTTTCAAAAGACACATCTGCAATGGCCCTATAGCCAAATATATTTTCTTACGACATACTCTGACCGTGTACCAAATGAAATACTTGGATTGCCAAAGGCACAAACTTGTGGAGATTCAGGCCAAAATAGGGCCGCTTCATCTCATCACTTCATCACATCTCTTGCTGTTCCGACTTCCATTATATTTGAAGTAAAGATGGTATCAGCATGTGGTTTTCACAGCAGTAATGCTAAGATTGTACAAAAAAAGTCACCGGGGTCGACGAACGACTCATTACGCTTGATCGCATCACATATTCCCCGAAATATTTCCCATATATATCTGCCCCACTAGTTCCTCTGCAAGCAAGGATAGTCATTTGCAATGAAACATATTCACGTGATATGAGATGAGCGAGGTATTTTTTGAAACGAGTCATAAACTGTACTTTTTTAATGGACGCCGTAGGATTCAATTCCAAGCTTGCACTTCTTTTTTTAATTGTCTTATAATCAGTTCCTGCCATTCAATCAAATAAGATTGTCCTTTTATTTCCAATTCATGGCTTTAAAACACTGTTTTGATGAGAACTGAAGTCCGACAGCCTAAACATGCCAAAAACTTACGCATGCGCAATATCACTTGGTTGCAATTTTAGGATATCCGTCTATTTTTGGGCAGCTTAATAACGAACGGAAATATACATGTATATACTTTTACTTCGGCCCTATTATCTTCGGGTGTCATTTATGACTCCAATTTCACATTTGCGTCCTGCAGATTTTATTTTGGATGCATCTGATTAATATATCGGGTGTATATAATTTAACTGTTGAAGGAAAACCTGTTGGACACTGCTTAATATGGATATTGAAAATCATGTACAATTTGTAATTGTGCCCAGTAGGAATTCCTGTATACAAATAATGAATATTTCGTTGTGCAATGGTAAGAATAATTTTATGAAGTGACAGATGGATGGTTTCTTTCCATTGTGTGATACAAATAGTCGAACGAATGTTTACGAGTGTAATGGTAAAAGTAATTTTGTAAGGTGAGGTCACCGAGTGATTTTTTTCTTTACAATCTACTTAATGTGAAACATTCATTATTTGTTTTATTCAACACCTGGATAAATCCTTGTCGTGTGATTGGTCAGAGCCACCAATCGTGTGACCGTTGAATGGAACTTCTATTCGGTGTGGCAGTGGGTTGAGATAAATAATTCAATGCCACGTGATTGCAGACCCACCAATCAGATGACCGAGATATAACAGGTGTTGTATAATAGATGCTAATACTTAACTTCCCTCCCTGTTACACCCTGTAACGCTCCAAACCACCAGGGCCCATTGTAGTCTGATAGCTTCTGTAACACAATGCAGAACATGTGCTAATGGAACATTTATTGTTTATAGAGAGTTTCGAAAATCACAGTATTTTTTCACTTCTAATTGGCAGCTGATAATAATGTTGTGCCTGTTGGCCAACATCCTGGGGCCGTCCGCGGTCCTTGGTGCATTCAGCTTTTTCATCGCCATAGTACTGCAAGGAATCGTCGCCAAACGGATCGGCAAACACCAAGCAAAAGTCATGGTAGGTCTTAGTCGCGATGTATGGTTTATGTCCAGACTTGAAATTCATGCGTTATACAAGTGAATCACAAGTCCCTTCACAAGTGCATGCACACGTAATACTTTGGTCACAGTTCAGTTAGGTAGCTTGAGACAATAATGGGCGATTGACGGCTCTCGTCCCAACCTGACTACCGTAATAAAGCGCACAAGTAGGGCCTATTACTGTGGTGGAACCTCACTTGCGCACCAGCATAGCGTATCGAGTGGGGATAGGCGGACTAGCCTCCCTGTGACATTTTGCATTTTTAACATTTATTTATTTGCTTAAAAAAATATGAAATGTAAGCGCTGGCATGTAGCAACTGCTTATACCCCTGCCCACTTTTAACTATTTTCTACGAAAACAAAATTGTGCACTTATTTTTCTAGTTTAAAAATCGCGCCTTGACTTGCAAGCGAGCCTGTGGTCAATTTCATGGCGCTGCTTAACAGTTAGCAGAAAAGTTGTGCTAACTATAGCAAAAAAATGAGAACTGTTTCATGGCGTTGGTGTGCTAACGGTTGCGCGCGCATGGAGAGTTTTATTGTTACGTCATTGATTTAAGGCATTTTGTCCTCTGAGGTAAGCGTGCCTTTGCTGTGCTTACTGCTTACTGTCTCCATGAAATAGAGGAAGGCTCTGTGAAATTGGGCCCTGCTTCCACTATATTAAGGCGTCTTATTTTGTTCGCCGGAGTTGTCTTCACTATTCTCCTGACATAGAATATACAGGGTGAGTAAAGGAAGTTTGCATGTAGCGCTTTCCGGATCTAAGATATAAAAGCCTAATTTAATAAGCCTTCCTTTACCGAAAGAATCATTCAAAACGCTCATGTATCGATTGATTGATTGATTGATTGATTGATTGATTGATTGATTGATTGATTGATAAATGGTTTATAAAATCAGCTTTCTCGCCACCTGTAGCGGAATTGTGTGAAGCTGTAACAATATTTAAGAATGCATTAATTTAAAAATACTAAAAAGTAATCATTACAATTATACTATTAAGAAATGATAAAGCAAAATTTAAGGACCCCAACATTGGTAAAATAGCAACTCAACAATTACATGTTTAACCATTAAGATGCAGTAATAACCCCAAAATTGATAACCCAAAAATTTATAAAATAGCAAATCAACAATTACATGATTAACACATTAAGATGCAGTAAGAAATTAGGTGAGTGGTAGGGCGAAAAGACATATGGTGGGTAGGGAAAGGCTACATTATTCGGGAAGGGAATGGGAATCCACAATAAAGTTTGGAATATAGTTTTAACTCATGTACTTTTCCAGTTATGGATTTTTTAAATCACAACACCGTTTTTTTTAACCTTTCTCATGGATCACAATAAGTGATATTTCAGCAAAACGAAAGCATTTCACATATCAAAATAAAACGCATTAGAATACTCTCAAAACCGTGATAAGTGGCACTTATCAAAACATTTATTTAAAAAGCTGCTGCTTCCAATGCTAAAATAGCATGCTTTAACATATATGCAATAACACGTCAAGTTATAGTTTCGCCCTGCCTTCTACTTGGCTACCCCGGAGACTTATCATGGGATTATTCTGATATCATTTTCACTAGATACGACTGGTTTCTATTTCAATGAAATATCACGTACGTGTGGTCCGTTGACAAGGTTAAAAACGGTGTTTGTATTCAAAAATTTATACAAGGAAAGAAAGTACATGAGCGATTTGAGTGATTCTTTCACTAAAAGAATGCTTGTTTATTGAGGTTTTATATTCTAGATATGGAAAGCGCTACATGTAACTTCTTTAAAAAATAAAAAAAATAGGGGCCCATATTAGTTTCCTTTTATGACTCGCCCTGTATTGATCATGCGACTGTTTTGTCACCACATATAGGGTCACTCGGACAGTCGTCTGAAGGAAACCCATGAGCTTCTGCAGGGCATCAAGCTGGTCAAACTGAACGGATGGGAGCAGACATTCCAAGATCGCATCAACCAGTCCAGGGATAGTGAGGTCAATGAGCTGTACAAGGTCGCTGGATTGTCCAGTACCATGAGTAAGGTTTATGGCTTTATTTATTTTATTGTGTTTATTTCTGGTAATTAAGAAACCGCCGAGTTTGGAAAAGATTTGTCCTTGTACTGTTAGCTCTGAAGTCCAAGGGAGAAGACGGCTCGGGTTCATAGGTGGGGAGGAACACCAGAAAGCTAAGACAAGTGAACCCACAGGATCAGGAAGGGACTGGAAGCAAAATCCGCGTGCTCGGTTTCGGCGGGACTCGAACCCGGGCCACGGAGGTGGAAGGCGAGGAAAGAACCGCTGCGCTAGCCTTACCTGCCCCCCCCCCCCTCAGCGGAGATCCGTGCCCCCTCGTCCCCTTTGTGTTGCCCCCCCCCCCCCCTTTAAAATCTTGATTTGCACAAAGACAACAAATAATTTGCCCCTTGAAACATATGTGCGACCCCTAGAAATTTAACCCTAGTCTCGATGCTGACTGTAAATACGCGTTACATGTGCGCAGGTGTGGCGTAACGGGGGGGGGGGGGGGGGGGGGAACTCCACCCCCACCCCCCAGATTTTCTCAGGCAAACAGAAGTGCACATCTCGCGGTTAAAATTGTACCCCCTCGAGATAAACAAAACTGCCCCTGAAACGCACATGTAGGAAAACATTATGATCGTGCTACAAATAAAATTGTCTACTCTCTTGTAATGCAAAACTGCCCCTCAAAAACACAAATACCCCTCTCGCATTAACAAGATTGTGCACCATCTCAAGATGGAAAACTACCCCTCGAAAACACAATTAGTACCCCGCTCGCAACAATAAAATTGTGCCCTCTCTCAAGATGGAAAACTTGCCTCAGTGCTCTTCACGCGAGTAAAATGGTCATAGAACTGGTCATCAAAGGCAACAGTGACCCTCTCGCGGTAAAAAAAAAGTCTCTCTTCATAACTAGGTTAAGGACAACACAATAGCAAGATGGACAACGTATTTATAATTTGTTCCTCGCCATATAGGTTTACAGCGACATGAACGAGACCAATTCTTTCCTCCACTTTCACACCGACCGAAGCCCGTTTTTCTTAGCAAGTGCCCCTTTTTGATGTTGCCCCCCCCCCCCCCGTTTTAAAAGCGTTCCCGCCGCCCCTGCGTGTGCATATATTCAGGGACCACCGGGTGTCAGTTCGTGGTGTCAATACAAAAAAGGCCATTATAATAAGTTGAAATTCAAAATAGTTACGTAAAATGTCCAAACGGTGAGCCGATTGCGCCTTCTTTTTTATGTTGTCTCCTCTCTTTTTCCTCCCTGCAGCTCCATTTGCTGTCGCTGCCGGATGCTTTGCCCTCGTTTTGGTAAGAATGAACCCTTCACAGTGATTATGTAAATACACAAAGTAAGCACTGTTTTAGTGAAATTGGTATCCGAGTCGCAACTAGGTATAAAATGTAAGTGCAGGAGTACTTAGTCCTGTGATCATTTTGTTCAAAGACTTAGACTTCATTGACTTAGACAACATGCTTTCTTTTCTGTTATTTTACCATAATGGTCCGCATTGTGACGGGGTTCGAACCCACTGTATTCCGAGCGACAGCCAGTTTTATAGTCGACTTCATCCCAAGTCTTCCGGTAACAATAAACCTTTTACAAGTCAAGTCACAATTAACAGAGCATGGGCGGCTTTTGTCATAGTGGAATAGCTTGTAACGTGACACGGGAGTAGTGGAATGCGTGTCGACTTGTGAGTTGTTGTGAGGACCTGTGATATACTAGTGAGGACTGATGATGATGGACTTGTGAGGACTCATGATCGATTCGACTATACAACACTGGCGAAACCAAAAATATCAAGGCTTAAACTAATTAACGGTCCTCGGCAGATTGGACCCGCAATCGAGTCATACTTGACCTGATACACTTCGGGGTCACACTGGCACCTTTGGGACGATGGTGACTCTTCTCGGGTTCTGTTTTTTTACCCGGAAATCTTGAAGGAAGTGTCACTTTCACCATGTAAAGTATCGGGTCAAACATGACCCGGATTCGAGTCAAATCTGATCAGGGACTTTTGAAAGACCTTTACAATGTAATATTTTAGTTCAATCCTTGGAAATACACCCTTGTGTCCCATTTAATCCTGTTTTGATTTTCGCTTTGCCATTTCCAAGGGTATTTTCCTGCCTTATTATTTGTTATGCTTGTATGAATTTCCATATTCATGAGCAAAAATTGATGCCATTTCAGGCAGAAACTGCCATGTTCATTTTACAGCTATTTCGGCAGCAGAAAAAGTTGACAGAATTTTGGATATTTCGCTGTCGTAAAATTTCCTTTCTTTGGTGATTCGTTAGTGTCAGTACATGGCAGTAAGCCAATGAGCAAACTTTTGTCACAAATATTTTCAATACACATATTTTTGAGTTCACAATTTGAACAGAAACTCCTAAACTGAACAGTGTCTTCCGGACATGACATCACAGCGGCAGCGCTCTCAGTTATCTAAAAATTGTTTTGAAGCGCACTTTTCAATACAATCAACCAAAAAGGGATGTCAATTAGTTTTCATACATTTAAGAGAAGTAGAAGGTTGCACAAAATATGTTCGTAAAAAAACATTCATTTCATGAGCCCTTTAAGAGTGTACTTATAATTACTTTCTTTTGTCACCCTCTCCCTCCCCCTACCGCAGTCCCTTGGTTTCTACTACGTGTTCGAAGACAAGCCCCTGACCCCTCAGATTCTCTTCCCGGCGGTCTCCCTCTTCAATGCGATGGCTGGCCCGCTCATGACCCTTCCCGCGGCGATTATGTTCACCATCAACGCCTTCATCAGCCACAAGCGGCTCAAGAAGTTCCTGCAGGCGCCGGAGATCGAGGACAAGATCAAGGGGAAGTTCAACTTCGCCACGGTGTCGGCCAAGGACACCTGTCACGGCGGGGAGGTAGGAGACGATTATTTTGAAACGGCCTTCTCATGAAATGTCTTTGATAGGTTGCGGATTCGTTTATCCGCAACAGGCCTATCGTATTAGGTATAAGTTACTCAATTCAAGGGCGGATGGGGGGGGGGGGGCAACGGGGGCCATGCCCCGCCCCCAAAAAGAACAATAAAAGCAGGCACTGCGTACACATTCGCCATCTTTCCTTGAAAAGATTTGGTAAAAGAGTTCGGAAATTGCCTCAGATCGCACCACGAAGCATCTAGAATCCCCCAAAAATGGGGGCTCTCAAGCGGGACCCGAACCCTACGCCGTAATTTTTTGGACCCAATTTTTTGGGGCCAAACAATTTTGCCCCCCCCCCCCTCGAAAAGAAAAAAATATGTTCTGGGTCCGCCCTTGTAATTGGCTCAATTCTGTACAACTTCCCTGGAATTTTCTCGATACGTTTTACTAGCATTCTTTTGCATATCTTTCAGCATATTGCAGATAAACTTGTTCGCAACTTCCTCCTGAAATATTAACAACATAACGTCTTATTCGAATCCAGATCTATTTCTTTTAAATCCAAATAGAGGTAGAAAAATGCTTCTTCAGAGTCTAAGATATTCGGAATAAGATGAGCTTTCGAGGGAAATCCTGGCCCCTTTATAGTATAGGGTTCAGTTTAGGATTGGGTTAATGTAAGGGGCGGTCGAGGTTTTGAGTTGGGGTCGGGTTGGGATGAGGTAGGAGTAAGGGTTAGGGGTTAGGGTATAAGGGTAAGGTTATGGTAAGGGTTATGGTAGGGGTAGGCTTAGGGGGTAGGGGTTGGGCTAGGGGAAGGGGTACATAATAATTACATTGTTTTACCTAAAGACGGTTCAAACGTTACTGATTGATCGTTTGAAGAGACCGTTGGAGTCAAAGTATGCTAGCTTATGATTTCAAAATTGCCCTAAAACACGTTTAAATGTTCGGTTTCCAAAATGTTATATTTTCGGAATAATTTTTTTAAGCAATCTCTGACTTATTTGCAAGAATGTTGTTTTTAGTCTTTACAAAACCTTTCCTCAGAAACATTACTCCGGTGCCTCGTGTCTTTCTTAAACACTCAGAAGGAACCTCACATATTAAAAAAAAGGCAAATTTCTCTTACAGAAGTCAGTGCCATGACGTATTCTATTCCAACAGACAAGAAATTGCAATAATTACAAAGGGTTTTCTCATTTTTTTTCGCCTTCGTATTAGCATCGGCACGATGAGCTGATGGACCGTTTAAAAAAAGCTGGAGGCTCGTACGGTACGTTCGACAGTGATGCACCGTTACTAAAGGCCATTCCGGAGCCGGACAGGCTTCCTGAAAATGTGGCCATGAAGGTGAGTAGTCACTGGTAGATGCATTAGACTGGTACACGTTGGAGTGGGTTATTTCTTCACAATGTTCCCACTCCAAATAGCGACTTCTCATTTTGGCCACCATCATTATCTCAAATAGCGCCCTCGTATACAAACAAAGGCTGTCATGTACCAGTTGTAAACATCGCTATAGCCGGCCACCAAGGACACTGCAATCAGTTTTTCTATCTTTCTCCAACAAGAGTTGGGATTTTTTTCAAGTTCTGTCACTTCGATGCAGGATGAAATTAGTTTATTGCCTGTTTTTCAATGAACACATCAAACTGGATCGCACGCGCCATTAGTGTAATACGGTAAATGCCCTCATAATGCGAAGGTAAAAACAGCATTAATACCATCGTAAAAGTAGCTCTCAGTAGAGCAATACTCGGCTTGGAGTTTTCCAAGCCACGGCTTCATTTCGGCTCCGTGCATCTCTTAAACTTGAGTCACAAAGAAGCCTTTGAGTACCTAGTGGCGCACCCAGGATTTGGCTGGGGAGGGGGCTCACCATTTTTTTTTAAATTGTTAGAAGATACATTTTTTTCAAAATATTTTGCCCACAATTTTTGGCCTTTTTTTTTGGGGGGGGGGGTGGGGGTGGGTGGGGGGGGGGACTATTTTGACGTTGGCGCCACTTACACCCGTATTATACTTGTCGAAAATAGGTCACATACACATCACCAAGGTCAAACCGTGGAACTAAAAAACTATTCCCCCCCCCTAACAATAATTCTTCAACCTGAAGCCGGACACAAAGTCGAAATTTGAGAAATCCCTTCATTGACCAGAATAAGTTTCAGATATGAATAGTGTTTTACCTTTTCCGTGTTATTGCGTTTATCTCCAGATAACACACGGAAGTTTTGCGTGGGAAGGTTCGACCGCGCCCATCCTAACAGATATCAACATAGAAATACAAGCAGGTAAAGATTACCCCCTTATTGGCGACGTAATTTTGGGCAGGATTCTTGATTGAAGGATGTGGCGGATAGTTTTTTCTCCATCCTGGAAGCCACTCCTCCCTTCTTTTCTATCCAACCACAATTGCTCTTCATTGAACACGATCTGCAATGAATCCTCGGTGGATGCTTTCTGATTGAACAACAGGTGCAAGCGACCCATGTGCCCATCTTAGTTCCTGATTTCGTAACCGCGTTTACCTCAAATAACCTTAAACTTTAAAACAAGACAGGGCAAGCCTGGTCTTGAGCCCATCAATTGTATTCAATCGATTCAGAATGGCTAGTCACTGGAAATTTTACATGTGGCCTTCGCAATGGGCCGGAGTTAACGCATTAATTAGCGTTACAGGATAATTCTCTTTCAAACATTTGGTCAAGTTGAGATGTATAAGCAAGTCTAATTCATAAGTGACAGTCAGTGAGTCAGTGCAGTTTCGGGGGCAAAGAAGACTATATTCTGGCCATCTTTGACCAGCAAAGAAGGCATTACATTCGTATGTTAGCTCAATATTTGAGCAGAGATTTGACATGGCCAGTGCCCTTCCTATAGCTTTAATGAGGGAATACAATGCTTAGGAGGTTTTAAACACTCTTGTTTTAGACCGGTTGGAGTCTAGATGCTGATGATTACCCGAGCCGAAGGCGAGTGTAATGATCAGCATCCAGACCCCAATCGGTCTTGAACATTGTGTTTAATACCGACCAAGCACATAGTTATTCCCATTCATAAATACATTTTTGGTCAAAAAAAAAAATCAAAACTTTTCGCTCCAAAAGTCAAAACAAGTCAAAAATTAAAAATGTCCAACGATTTTGTTCAACGGTTTTCACGTCGTGTTCCCGAAACAACCCTCTAGCTATATAATGGAGTTTTAAGGACTCCATTTACGGAGATTGGCGCTTGTCGCACTTATTGCGCTTTTCGCGCAAAATGCAACTGTTGCGGTGCGTTGTGAGTTTTGGGACTAGGAAATACTGACTCACTGGTAGTGTAGCGCATGCCTCTGTGAGGATTGTGAAGGTTCAACCAATAAAACGGTAAAACACACTGGGAAAGTGTTTAAGACCATGCAGCCATGTCTTTATCATCCGTTTCAGACCGGCCACGTTACGGGCTCTCGACCAACAGGAATGGGTAAACTGTCGTAGGTATTTATGAATATATAATATAACATCTTGCTCTCTCTACTTCTTGCACCAGGCAAGTTGACAGCTGTGGTGGGAGAAGTAGGCAGCGGCAAGTCGTCGCTCTGCTCAGCTCTGCTGGGAGAAATGAAGACAGTGTCTGGAGAAGTCATTTGGAACAGGTGAAATCTACATTATAATTCAGCCAGTTTGTGGAAGATAATCATCAAAAAATCAAAAAACACCAGGAACGTAACTCAGAAAAAAAGAGATTCGCATAATTATATTCCTTTCATCACTCCAAACAGGTTTAACTTGCCGTTTTCCCGACCAATTTAACACCCGACAAAACAATTTAAAACTGACTAATTTTTTGGAAATTGAAAACGAATCTTCCTTCATGTCAGCATTAATTTAATTGTCAAGAGTCGATTTTATCAGCTAGACATTCACTCGAAAAGTGTCGTTGAAAACCAATTTCATAGAAGCAGCAGGAAGAGGATGAATAAAAAAACGTGGAGAAAGGCAGGTATACATGTTTAGACTTTGTCAAAGTGTCCCGATTCAGTTAACACTTAATGCGTAGTTTTACCATAAAAAAGGAGAAAAGGGCATACTTTGAACCGCAGTCGTCCTGTTGCAATGTCTTTCATTATGCGTCCACATTTGCTGCTGTGCATGACTAGGGAAAGGCATGGCTTATCTCTTGACATTTTCATGCAATTTTGGTACTTCTTGTCTACAGTGAGAGGCACTCCATTGCCTACGCCAACCAGAAACCATGGCTAGTCAACGCATCTTTAAAAGACAACATCATCTTCGGGGCGCCGCTCGATGAACGGAGGTAAAAACACTAATAGCCAAACCGTTATCAAAACAAAACAGATTGGCACTACTTCATGTAGTCGTGGGTGTTACGAGGGAGCAAGGGGCACTTTCACCGAAGCGCTTGAGAGAGGAAGATCGTCCAAGTCTGTATTGTTCGGTGATATTTAACAACAAAAATGCTGCAAAAAGGATCCATGAAAGGAACATCTGCATAACGTTTGTAACACCGCCTCAACCATGAAAGTGATCCCCAACTTTTCCAATGGGCCGTGATTTCCGGAGAAGTTAAGGGACTAGTGAGTGCCCCTCTCCTCCCGAATAAAATCCTGGCCACGCCCATGGGTGCGGTTTATACCTCTGCTTGACATTACTGGAGACTGCACGCCTCGCCTGTAAGGAGATTCATTTTAAGACTACATGAACATAAAAACAATCATGGTCACTTGATGTATAAGCCTCTGTACTGATGACATCACACTTTGTTTACGTGTGTGCTTTCCTATGGTGCTCAGTGGACCGTGGGTCCCCACTGGCTCCATAGGAAAGTGCACATGTAAACAGTGTGCACATGTAAACAGTGTGACGTCATCAGTACAGAGGCTTATTGACCATGCAAATATAGGACAGTGATGTTCCTGAATTTCAATTGCGGATCTCAGGGGATGGTTGGGGTGGCTAACCAACCCCACTTTTTGGACCGACCAGTGTTTATTACTAACCTGAAAATGGAAGAAAGTCATTGCTTCTTTTTTCCCATTAACTGCAACATTAACGCCTCAATCTAACCCCCCCCCCTCTAAAAAATGGACTTCAACATGGCAGCCCCGCCCCTTTCTCACAATTCATCCTTTAAGTTATAATGTTTTCTACTACGACAGATACAACACAGTGATTGAGGTCTGCGGTCTGCGTCAAGACATCGATATGCTCCCCGCTGGAGACAGGACGGAGATTGGCGAGAAGGGAATCAACCTGAGCGGTGGACAGAAGCAACGAGTCAGCATAGCCAGGGCGGTTTACAGTCATTCAGACATCGTCCTTTTGGTGAGACACTGGTCTTTGCTCTTTACTTGTAGTTATTCATTTCATCTCTTCGAAACGAGCTTGATGACACTCCTTTCTTAGAGCCAATCCGAAGGCTCTCGTTAGACACGCCTCTGCACGCCGCCCTCAATTTATCGTGAACGTACGTCGCGGAGCCCACTCTATTGCGCCCTTTAAATGGTCCAGAGGCGATCCAAGGCAACACCTGGGTCATCCATCTCGAGGCAGATCATGAGGCACGGCCGCAACTGTAACATTCTGCATCCCATTGCTAGGCTTGCGTGGCTCAACGTCCAACCGACGGATATTAATATTTATGATGATGATAATGATGATGTTGAAACGGACATGGGGTTGAACGATTGGTAGAGTTTTCATCATTATGGTTTAGGTGCTTTCTCTTTTAAGTACAACGTCAATGGGATTATTGAGAAAGCTAAACTTCACTGGTTCGTATAACCATAATTATATTACGTCTTGCTTCAATTCTAATAACGGCGATTTGCCCTTCACATGTAAATGTACAAGCACAGCAGACTCGATCGGTTCTATCTGAAAGTGTGTCAGAAAAAGCACAAGCTTCCTCGAGTGAAACACGACCTCCTACTGTAGTACCATTTGTCTTTCCATTCTCCTATCAAGCCTTTCTAGGAACAATCGCAATCTCCTGATTCAAACTTTGATCAAAAGGTATGTCTTATTTAAATTAGTGATTTTGATGATCATAAATGTGTTTTTTTTTGTTAATGTGTTATGGGCCAATAATACTACGAAACTATGATGGGCCTACGGATCACTTACCCATGTACCTCAAAAGCACACCTGACAACTGCGGTAGAGGTAAGTGATATATGCATCACCTAATGTGAAAGCATTCACAAGGGACTCACAGCAGATGGTGTTCAACAAGTTACAAATTAAGGTCACAGATGAAATGATCACCACAGATGTTGTTATTATACATGTATCTCTCGTTGTTTTTTTTTTTTTTTACCAGGATGACCCACTTTCTGCCCTGGATGCTCACGTGGGCTCACACGTCTTCAAGGAGGCACTGAAGAAGTTTCTTATCGGAGAAGGCAGGTCCATTATTCTCATCACCCACCAGACCCAGTTCCTGCCCGAAGTGGCCTACGTCATCATCATGAAGAACGGGAAGGTGGCGCAGCAGGGCACACCGGAAGAGATCAAAGCAGCCGACCCGGACCTCTACGAGAGCTGGGCGACCGCTGCCACGGCTACCAAGGCTGCGGCGACTGCAGAGCAGTCAGATAAGGACCAGGGAATCGATAAGGACATCAAAGCTCTGAGGGAGCAGATCGAAGAACGAGAGAAGGAGAAGAAGTTCCGCAAGGCCTCGCGGCTGAGCAGGGCAAGCAGTTTCCTGGAGGAGGAAGAACCTATGGATGAACAAACGGGTAGGCGACTTTATCAGTGGGCCTTCCACTGGCCTTCAGCAGTCTGGTGTGAACAAATGTTTTTGTTTTAACAAGTTTACAAAAAAGATGGACGGCGAAAAAGTTCGATCATGTCCAATTTGGATTTTGTCTTTCAAGTCACTCACCTTTGGGCAATTTCCTTTGCTAAAGAAGAACATAACATAAATAGTGATATGATAGTTTTGTAATCGAGTCCATCACCAGTCCATTCGAAAGTACACCACAAGTACACCGTTCTCTCAACGGGTAATGGACAATTAGAACAACCTCCCAGCCTACGTCGTAAATGCCATGAATGTCTATCAGTTCAAGAATACATTTGACAATTACTTGAAAGAACCTGGATATAGAGTCTTAAAAGGCTTAAGCCTATAATTGATAATCCCATCAAATCTTAAGTGTAAGCGTTAGTGTAAGTCTGGTCGCAAGTAACAGGGTTTTGAACAATAACAAAGGAATATTTCTGTAAGGGTCAAAGAATAGTTTGTGATTTAACTCAAGACTTCTGAGGACTCATGACGGCGTATGATGACGACTACAATATAGGTGAAGAGATATCAAACAGTTAAGACCACAATCACCTCTACAATTTTCCATAACACAGGCTTGTTCACCGCCGATGAACCAGGCACGGAAGAAGACGATGGCAGTACCCTGATTAAAGCCGAGGAGCGCAGCAAAGGCTCAGTCTCCTGGAAGGTCTACTACTATTACCTGAAGGCCGTGGGGCTCAAGACTGTGCTGCTGGTGTGCTTTCTTTACCTCGGCTCGTTCCTGTTAACCACTGCCAACCAGCTCTGGTTGTCTAACTGGTCCGAGGCAGGGCTGGACACGAATCTGACAACGGTAGGTTCGGAATATTCTAAATGTTGACCAACACCTTGTGAGGTGAGCAGCAATGAATGTTGAAACTTGATTCACGATAATTAAATCTTCACCCTCTTCTTGTCCGTTTCAGTCGGAGATGCAGCAAGTCAGCAGGCATTACATGGTTGGATATATCCTCCTCAGTCTGTCAGTGAGCGCCTTCTCCTACCTGACAAGTGCCGGAACCTTCTTCTCCTCGCTGAAGGCCGGCAAGACCATCCACAAGAAAGTGCTGCAGAACATCACGCAGTCACCAATGAGGTATGCCGACATGTTCGACTACTATTTCATACTGACTGAAATCCTGCAGTTTAGTTTTGCTCCAAGGGCGCTGTTATCGTTAATTCGACGTTTCATGTCTCAAACTTTGGATTTTAGTTCTTGGCTTGTCAATTTCCTCTGTGTGCTTCCATACTTCCCTCAAACATTCAACGTTCGTCTCTGGATGCCTTCTTGTTCAAGCCTTTCATGTTCCTCCCTGTCTGTCTACTTTTGTCGTTTAAATGTTTTCGTTCTATGTGTGTGTGCGTGTACATACACAAATATTTTCGTATTTATATTTTCGCATTTGTTTGTGTTTACGATACGTCACCGGAATCTCAATTGAATTCCTTATTATGAAGTAAAACAAAATTCTATTGTTGACAGCTTATGAAATTATTCACTATTTATTTGCCCACAATAAACGTGAACAGAAAATCATTCAAATTGGTTAAAAAGTACACAGATTATAATCTAACACGTTTAATTGTAAGTGATTTTTATTTATGGTTTTGTTTTGTTCACTTATTCATTTGGTTTTGTTAGGGTCAAATAAATAAAAACTAAAGGTAATTTGGGGTACGCATACAGGCTAACAGAAGCTCGTCGTCCTATGAAAGTCCAATAACATCAGAGGTCAACAGCACTCGAGAAAAGCGGGTACAAACGAAAGTTTGATGAAGTGCCACTGGCGTTTTTCTTTTTCCCATAATAGGTTCTTTGACACAACTCCCATTGGCAGAATCTTGAACAGATTCTCTGTGGACACAAAGATGGTTGATCAGGTAAGAAAGTCGAAAAAAAACCCTAATACAAAAGTAATAATATAAATGTCAGTTATGCCATTGGCCCTCAAAGTGAACATGGCAGTCATTCCTGTATGCTTGCTGCAACAAGCGTGGATTGCACTTAGTTTTAGAATACGTAGGAATCTTATGAGAAGAGACATTTCCAAACAAGCTTGAAACATGCCAATCGTTTACCTGAGCAGAACATGCTGTAAGGTGTACTGGAAATCACAGACCAAAGACCTAACAAGTTATAATTCAAGTTATTCCGAATTATATCAAAACGATCATTTTGTTTCTAATTTAATTGTATCACTTGACCCCTGTCTTATGACTGTGTTCGTATCCCAAATATTGATATCCATTACCATGTAGTAGCGTTCTAATTTTTGCTATGTTTGAGACATTGTCTCACGCAATATAATATATTTGATTCCCAGGCGCCAGGCCATTTGAACTTTACTTCCGGTGTAACTGGGAATGCAATGATAATTGAATGTAACTTGAAAAGGGAAGCATTTTTCTACAGTTATATAAATTATGCAAATAATTAATGAGGAATGTTTAACACAAAAATTGGCATGATGACGTCATTACTTGAAACGGCACCCTCTAACGGTACGTCATAAGAAAGATTACATTTTTTTTATATAAAAACCATTTGTTACAATTTTACAAAATTGGCCATGTTTATTATTTGTACAACTTTGAAGAATTTGCCAAGGTTCAGAATCGTGACATCGATCCTCCGACCAGAAGATATTGTAGGGAGAATTTAAAAATTATCAGTTTTTCTGTCTTTTAAATTCAAATTAGTCATTTGATCCGTGTCCAGTGACTACGTTCGTACTTCGTAGCATAAATAATTACATCCGGTACAATTCTGACCTTGGGCTTCAAATACTATTGTGACGACATCAGACCGCTAGTAATATTCATTATAATTTCAATAATTTCAAAGGGTCTTTTCACTGCATGATGAACGTTTATCCTGTCTGAACTAATCAATATTCAACATGACGTCATCAAACCGGAAATGATGTTCACCTGTAAATAAAATGTATACTGAAATTTAAACAACACGAAAGGATGCATTTTTGTTCAAATTAAGATAAATGTTTTCCCCTGAAAAGGATCTGTTTCGTGATGTTTGTTGTTGTGACAATAATAATTCACAATTAACTTAAGTGTGCAAAGTCCCACGAAATGGTTGCATTCCCGATCAGCCATCGTTTGCGACTCAACAAACGCAAATCTCTAGTTATTGAATTTGTTTTGTTTTGGTAGACCATTGGCAGTTCGTTATCGCTGGTGATGCAGTTTGCCCTGGCGACCTTTGTTGGTCTTGTAATCAACGTGATCTCCGCCCCTTTCTTCCTCGTGGGCATCATACCCATTGGCATACTGTATTGGTTTGTCACGTCCTACTACATCTCCACAACACGGTAAGAAGACAAGCTTTCTTCAAAATAGCAACCTCAAATCTGAAGGTGTATATTGTGTCCTTTCCATGTTACTGTGCTGTGCTAGATGTTAAATAATGTCCTCTTTATTAATGAGAAGGGTGCAGAAACCAGTCTAGAAATAATATCGTTTTAAGGTTTACAGACAAAGTAATAACACAGATCCACATTCGGTTTTTGAACCAACGATGAATGCATGAGATCTGTTACAACTGATAATGTGTCATCAACGGATAACGTATCACCAACAGATAATGTAACAACAATTGACCAATTAATGTATCACTAACCGATAACGTAACAAAATTTGACCGATAGTGTAGTAGAAAGTACTATATACACCTTTATATAATTTTGTTTCACAAAACCTGGTGATTTCTGATGTGCAAACCCACGTTAATTTTTTTGTTGGTCTTCTTTCAGAGAGCTGAAACGTCTGGAAAGTATCTCACTATCTCCCGTCTACTCTCACTTCACTGAGACTATATCAGGGCTGTCGACTATTAGAGCTTACAAGTACGTCTAAATTAATTTTTAGATCATTTTGTTTTTCTTATAACAGGCAGACTATGGACAATAATTATGTTTTTTTTACAAACTGAACAAACTATCGATTGTGGATTTACTGACAAGTCGTGTTAGGCTGACACATGATGCGGTTGGTTCTTTTCTTAGCAGATTCGAGATGGATGTCGCAATAGTCATTATCGAGTACTGCTTTTAGTTTAAGAGCATCCTAGCGGCTATTTTGTTTAATAGTCTTCTTTCATGTTTTTCTATTCCAAAAGACATCAGAAAGGACAAACTTCTACCACTATTTAAGTGGAGATCATACACAAAAGTCAGGAGAGTTTATATCTCAGCCGTGGTCACACCTTCTTCAGTAACTTAGTAAATGTCATCCGATGAAACTTTTATTCTTGATTTAATATGTCGCCATGTAATTTCATTTGCTTTTATTCTTAACGAATTGTCACCCTTTATCTGATCAATAATCAATTACCAGACTTGATTTGAAGGTAATTACATAATTTGTTAATTTGTGGACAGTATGCAAGCATGTTTTGCGGGTAGATCCCTCGATAAGATCAACACGAGCACGGTGACCAGCCTCTACCGGCAAGGCTCCAACTTCTGGCTACAGTTTCGTCTGGTACGTAGAACTCTTCGATGGTTTAGTTGTGAGAGTTGTGCCACCTTTTCATGCGCGTTTGAGTATTTGTATCAGTTTCACGTTTAGGACCACTGTAGGTCTAACAGCGGACGCAAAACAGACTGAAAACACGTTAAATCAAAAATGGCTATCGTCAAAGCAAGATTTTTTTCCTTTTCGTGTGCGCATATGTCATCAGTCGACTTTGTGTAACTCTTTTATTACTGTATTCTGCATCCCCTCAGCGCAGTATTTTTGTACTGATACCAAACGGCAGAATTGCATACGGCCAAATCGAGAATTTTAACTTTAATTCTCGCAAATGGCCCGTTACGGAGACACACTTTCCCAAATTTTTTAGATTAGGTAGACACCTCGACGGCCTCCTTAAAGGGAATGTACATCATTGGCTTTTGCTGTAATTTTTCAGAGATGAACTATTTGAGGGGTTACTATAATAGATCAAATATTGTTACACTGACATGTTTGAAGTTTTGTGTTCGAAAATGCTGAAAAACCAAGAAAAACACAAATAGTGGAGTAGTCTGGTTCTCTGACTCCACTAAAGATAAAATGGATCAATTTATAGATGCCGGAAAATTGTAAGGTAAGGGAACCAGTCTACCTGGCCTGCACCCGTTCATAAACATGTAACCAAAAGCAAACAAAAATTTGGACTGAAAAATGGTGAATTTGGAGGAGAAATTGAAAAATAGTTAGGTTTTTCAATTTGAAAAGAAAATGGTATTTTTGTATAAATTTCCAACAGTGGTCGGCCGACCACCGTTGGAAATTTATACAAAAATACCATTTTCTTGAAAATGACTTTACAGGATGCTTTAGACTGTCATTTACCAACATCCTAGTAAGGTATTTCGTAAAAACTTGGTAGTTCAATATTTTGATGTTTGCAAATGTTGTATATTCCCTTTAATGTTTAAAGTCCTATATTTTTAGGCATTACTTTAATGGCACAAATAGCCATCAGCGATTCCTCTTGATGCAAAACCCAAATTTACAGAGTTTCTCGAGGGAAGGTTCAGTTTAGGTAAGGGTTAAGCGTCCTTAACGTGAGGGGTTTTGTGCACAAGTCTATGAGAATGTCTCTCAAAGGTACAATTTCTCGTAGCTATTCTTATTATATTTCTTTATTCATTGAAAATTTCAATTTTAAATTTAAAGTATTTTCTTTGGATTCTTTTTGTAAAATGATTTTTAGATTGAATTTTAATTATTGTTTGCAGTGTTTTTCGGCACTGCCATTTTCAGTGAGTCATACGGCTGCGAGAGTGCCTTCAATAAACCAGAAATAATTATAATATTGATATTAATAATAATGTTTTCTTGGTTTCATTTTTACAGGGCTTTATCGGTGCCAGTATTATCGTGCTCAGCGGTATCGTCACCATTTCCACATTTTTCCTGGGCGGTTTGGACCCGAGTCTGGTTGGCCTGGCAATAACAGTGTCGCTCTTTGTAAGTGGACATGTCCTATAAGGAAGATTCAATCGGCTGTGTCATCGCACTTTCTTATGTTCAGTGGAAAAATGTTCTGTAGGGATCATTTTACTGGCAAGATGCCACGAAAATGCCTATGACCGACTTCAACATAAAACATGGCATTTGAAATCTCGTTATTTTGGAGGTTAGAAATATTCCTTTTCCAAAATGTTATTTTTCTGTAGCAAAACAAAAGTTATTATTCTCTTTTGTGTGATACTTCAACTGAAAAACCGGCTCATGTTTAGTTACTGAATTATTACTTTACAATTTCAAATTATTGGCTGCTTGACAATAATTTCCGTTTTCACCGGGTTGGCTGGTTCCAGCCTCACCATCAGTATCGATAATAATAATAATAATCATAATTTAAATTTATAATGCGCCTTTTGCATATAAATGATCAAAAGCGCATTACAGAATCAATAATAAATGATAATGTTTCGACCGGGAGCCAGTCTGTTCGCAAAGCGGATTTGTGCCCCAAAACAAAACGTTTTCATTGGTTTGCAGACGTCAACCCCCCCCCCCCTCCAAAAAAAAGGACGAACAAATTAGGTTTTTGTTTTAATAATTCATACAAGTTGAACATGTACAAATAAATAAAAGATCGAATTGAAGAACCAGGAACACAACTTTAAACTAAAACAAAATCAGAGCTCTACTCATTTTACACTATCAGGAAATATGCTTGTGTCGCTTGAATAATTTGCAGTCTAAATTATTTCAAACAATTGCAAACTTACTTGGTACTTATACGACGGTTGTTTCTGAGATTCAATTCAACCTGTCGTACAACTCGTATCATTAGTCTCACTCCAATTGTCTTTGTTCAACAGTCATCCCAGCAGTTGATGCAGCTGGTGACCCAGTCATCTGAGCTGGAGATGCAGATGAATGCCATAGAGCGACTGCAGTACTTTGCTGAACTCGACACAGAGAAACAAGAAGGTAGAAAGACATAGATAATCCTCCTATAACTGTCTGTCTGATATCTGTTCGTCTAATGTCAATCTGTCTTATGTCTGTCTGTGAGTCCGTCTGTCTGATGTTTGTGTGTCACTTTTTTTTGGTAAAAGGCCTAAAGACTGTGCCGAAGCAAAACATCCTATATAATATCAACAGTTCCTCTTATATGCGGTAATCCAGTGTAAAGGGTAACATATATATGCTCCGATTTCACTGTCCTCTGACGTCACGGTTTGCGCTTGAAACAAAATTATTCATTTGTTTTGTTGTGCTTTTGTTTTGGCGGATTTGCTTCTTTCAGACTTTGCATAGTTAAATATTACTACATTATCTCTGCGACAACACTCCAAAACGTATCGCTATTACGGAAAACAATGTTCATGATGAAACAAGTGGCGAAATTGCTTCACCAAGGCTTACCACGCCCAGTTGGGATCAACATGCAAATTGAGGTCAAAGTAATACATTAGTATATGACTCCACGCAGCATCCTACGGAGCCACGTCCTGAGTATGACATTACACTTGTTGTGTTATTCGTTTTAACTAATGGGTAAGGCGGATTCGGGATCCTTTTTTTTTGGTAGCCGCTGTAATTCATAGTTAGCAGAAAAATCATGCTAACGTGAATTGTATTTTTTTCACGGCTGATCTGCGATTGAATTGTAAAGCAAATTCCGCATCGAAAGAAAACTAGCTCTAATTGCTTACGGTGTTTTTGAAACGGACAAATGATGTTCCTTTATAGCTGCAAACTGCTATCGAGTGTTCAAGGGCTCCGAAACTAGGTAATATGGTGCATCAGATGTCTGAGTGTCAATGTCGTCTAGGGTCACCGCCTAATCAACTCTATTTTTATTTATATTCTATTCACATTTCATATATCTTTACAGTCTGGTTTGTTTACGCAAACGAGGACAAACAACATCATTTTTGCTGGGCAGCCATGCAGAATATTACAAAGCAGAAAGGAAAAAAAGTAACTTGAATCTTTGAAGTTAAAACAAGATCTCAATAACGACATCTCTAATTGTTTTGGTTTCAAAGGAGTGTTCGATCCACCCGATGACTGGCCCTTCCTCGGCGACATCACGGTCAAGAATGTGGAGATGCGCTATGCCAAAGAGCTGGAGCCAGTGCTACAGGGGGTAAACCTGCGTATCAAGGGCGGCGAGAAGGTAGGGAAACAGACCAAGTAATAGGCCATGAAGTGCATGTAAACCTGGAATACCCATTGGGAATGAAGTCACTCCGTCCGCCATATTACTTCTACCACAACTATGGAATTGTCAACAAAATAAATTGTCCTATTAGACTGAATGTTTGTCTTGTTTACTTCAGAAATGAAGTTATGACTGACGTATTATAATTATTAAGTTTATTTGTGACAAAATAACTATTGTTTTGTATATTTTAAAACGAGTTCAGTTTCTTTTACGAGTACACGATTGGTACTGCACATACTTTTCCCTACCAGAGGAAACCAAGACGGAGCCTCAATTCTTTGTACCAATGAGCTTTCTAGGTTGAGTAATGTAGAGATTGAGAATGCAGCGCGCCACCAAGAGGTTTAAAAAGGCCTCTTAACAAATCTTTGCAAAAAAGAAAAAAGAAAAATGAACATTCACGCAGTTGTACCAAAATACTCTCACTATACTGTCACTGTGACACCATATTCATTTGTTTTACTTGAGGTCAGTTCTGAACTATATTCTGCACCAAATAATATTTCACAGGTTGGTATCTGCGGACGGACCGGAAGTGGGAAGTCCTCCATGATGTTAGCCTTCTTCCGCATCATTGAAAAGACCACGGGTAAACAAAACCTCGAGAAAGATTTGGTTGATAACGGGTGTCCATTTTGCAACGGGTGTCCGTTTTTGTTTTTAACATTAAACATGATATTAAAAATACTACTATTGTTTAAGCAACATGTATTGGTCTATGGCTAGGTATAGCCACGACCCCCGGTTATTACGTAACTCAGTAAAGATAAGCAAGGCTATCACTATATATTTTCTGTAGTCTCGAGGGAGGTAGATCACAAGTCCATTAAGAACTCCATTCACAACTCTGCCACACGCACCAGATCATGCACCAGATGATGAACAACAAAGGAATGTTTTGTCATCCACAGTTCATCTGGATATCTTGTGATTTAGTACGTCTACGTGTGAGGGCTTGTGATAGACTCGTGGTTGACTCGTAACGGATTTGTGATGGACTTGTGATGGACTTGTGACGGACTTATGATGGACTTGCGATAGACTTGTGATGGATTTGTGCTGGACATGTGATGGACTTGTGATGGACTTGCGACGGACTTGTGATGGACCTGTAACAGACTCATGCCTAATGCTTTACACTTTGATATAGGCCTACCTGGAGCGAATATAGGCTGTACTTAGGCTGTCTACACAGCCTTGGATGGATGCAAGGTTTTAAGGGGAAACAGTGTGAGGTGGTATATCCTATAGGTGCAGGATTAAAATAATACTGATTACCCCTGTTGTTATTGTAGGTGATATCTACATCGATGGTGTCAACATTGACCACGTGCCGCTCGCAACCCTTCGTCAGAGACTCTCCATTGTGCCTCAGGATCCTACACTCTTTACCGGCACCGTACGGTACGCCCTATAGTTTGTCTACTTCCTAAACTCATAACCCCATTTTTTGGTTCCATTAATAAAAAACAAAATGTTCCTCTTTGACTTACGGTAAGTGCATATTAATTTCTTCTTAAGGACCAGGTATTTTGGGATCTGTTGCGGGAAAAGTTTTGCAAAGTAAAGAATGGTTTGTATCGAGAAAAATAATCCAGGGGTGATCCGTGCCAGGCTGTGGGACTCTCGCTTAAATATATGCCAACTGCAGGTCACATATTAGGTTGCCCCACAAAATCACCTAACAGTCGAAAGCCAATTTATACAGGCATATCGCATGTGGGTTTCGCAATATTTTCAAATTACCTCTTAAAGTCAGATAACCAATCTTCCATACAAACTTTATTTCATTCAAATCAATGCATAGGAACAAACGCCAACTCAAGGGTTAAAAATCGTCTTGGGCCACTTTCCTTGAAAGTGAGAAAGCGCAGTTAGCGAAACACACAAAGGATTTATTTCCTTTGTTCAAAAGTAACGTGTGACTTATTCCGTCGGCTTCGATCTGTAAACTTGGTAAAAATTATAAGCAAAAATGGGTCCAAATGGTTTTTCAAGTCCCGTATTGTGATTGTTATCTTTTGAACAAAACATCCTAATGAAACCAACTAAAAAGCATTTGGAAGACCAATATTATTCTACTCAGCCATACACTGAATACGATTTTGAATATTATCCTCACTTTTCTGAAAACATGCCCGATTCGACTGTTTTTGTGGGACAACCTGCATGCCCCGAAACTGTCCCGCACCACAGCCTATAAAAACTTGTTTGGGTGGAGTTTTACCCAAGAACGGGATTACCAAGAAAGAATGTCCCAATGTCCTAAAATGCACTTATTGATTCATGTACCAAGCCAAAAAGTGGTAAATGTCTACCTGGTTATGTTTCAGGTTCAATTTGGATCCGTTCGATAAATGCACAGAAGACGCAATCTGGGAGGCGCTAGGTATCGCCCAGCTGAAGGGAACAGTCGCCAATCTTCCGAAGGGTCTAGGTAAGCCTCAACAATTATTGCAAATGCTTGACGTTTGTATCTACAGTTTGCATTACTCCGACAACTATGTTTGACTTGGTTGGAAGAGCTTTGTGACATTAATTTGTTCGACTATTTGGTACGAGCCACCGATGTCGGTAGAATGGTTCGTTATCAACGGCCGCGAAATAGGAAGACAGGGAACGATGTAATTGCATGATGTCTTTTAATGTAGTTCCGCAGGAGACATTCGCACTCAAACATCACGGACCGTTCGAAATGCCAGGTATGGGGTCATGTGCCGCTCCAAAAAGTCTCCGATTTTAACATCATGTGGTTTGTACACGGATTCCATCAGTACATACGGCAATATGCATTTCGCATCGTAAATGCCGATGTGGGATTTCCACAAAAACGAGGAAGAAGATGATATCGGGAACAATTCCGGGCCATGTACGTCTCCAATACACCATCATTTTCAAATGTTCCTATATAAGCATATATACACGGTGAGTAAAAAAAAAACCCGAAACCTAACATGTCGGGACTATTGTTTTATTGAAGTTCTACATGTAGCACTTTTAAAGTCAAGGTTATGAAAGCCCAATTCATAAGCCTTTTTTTTAGTACAAGAATAGTTCAAATCACTTATGTACTTTTCAAGTTACGGAATTTTAAACACAACCAATACCGTTTTAAAGTTCTGTCCACGGATCACAAAAAAGGTGTGCGTTCCTTCAGCAAAACGAAAACAATTCACACACATCCCTATGTGATTTGTTTTCGTCTCGCTGAAAGAACACTGATTTTTTTTGTGATCCGTGGACAGAACCTTAAAACGGTGGTTGTGTTTAAAAAGTACTGTGTTTAAAAAAAACTTAAAAAGTACATGAGTGATTTGAATGATTCTTGTACTAAAAGAAAGCTGACGATTTCATATACTAGATTTTGAAAATGCTACATGCAGAACTTCACTAAAACAATGGTCCCAACATTTGGGTTTCGGGTTTTTTTTTTACTCACCCTGTATAGGCGTAAGTGACATCAGGGGTCAACCACTATAAATGCAATTCATAGTTTCAAATTAAGTTATCGTATCCTTAAGCAGGATACTTTACCCCAAGATATTTTTCCAGTCTTAACATTTGAAAATCATATTCGTTTCTGAAATAATCCAATGGAACAAAAACATCACACGAGTTTTAATATTTGTTTGTCTAGGCTTATGATAATGTATTTTTTTCTTTTCACATAGATTCTGAGGTGAGTGAGGGCGGTGAGAATTTCAGCGTTGGTCAGCGGCAGCTGTTCTGTCTGGCTCGTGCCTTCCTGCGCAAGTCCCGTATCCTCATCATGGACGAAGCCACCGCCTCCATCGACAAAGAAATGGTGAGATGTATTGCCAAGTTGGTGCATAGGCTTGAAAAACTTCAGAACGTGAGGTGTCATTACAGTTCCTTATGGAATTGTGCGTTTGAAATACGGATATGAAAACACCCGTGATGCCGAACTTGCTGTAATGTTTTGTCGACACTTCCTCTTCGAATCTAACCGCAGCGTCCTCACTATAGTAAGGCAGATCGGTGACGGATTATGCCTCTGATGATACAAGCATGGCATTTGGCACAAAGTCAGAGAATGTCATGAAAAAGATATTTGGCTATAGGGCCGTCGCAACTTTGTCCTTTGACAAAAATATAGGTTAGAATAACAAGCAATGGTAGCCATTTTAAAAAAAATGAACATTGCTTGTTTTTCTAGCTCTATTCGTTCAAAAGACAAATCTGCGATGGCCCTATAACCAAATATCTTTCTTAGGACGTATTCTGACTGTGTGCCAAATGCCACGCTTGTATCATCAAAGGCACAATTTTTCTCAATTATTTCCCCTATCTGCCCCGTTTTCTCGACTGTCTGCATGTGTTTATGACGAGAAATTGTCAAACTGTTTTTGTCCATTTTTTTCAGGATGCCGTTCTGCAAGATGTGTTGTTCACTGCATTTGCCGACAAAACCGTGTTAACAATAGCAGTAAGTTGAACTTAACTACACGTAGGAAACTAAATGTAATTTGATGACACAAAAAGGATTGGAAATCTGAAGAGAAGGAATAAGTCGAAAAAAAGTGCGTGTCATTTAACCAATATGGCAGACCTTCAGAACAAAATGACTGTGTAAAATATATAAAAAATAATTAATCATTCTAAATAATCATAAATAATCCCTCTTTCAGCATCGGGTATCGACTATCCTGAACTACGACACCATCATCGTTCTGAGCGAGGGTAAGGTGGCCGAGTGGGACAGTCCCAAGGCCCTCCTGGACAAACCGGATAGTATCTTCTCTTCGCTCGTCAACAAGGACAAGTAGCAGCGTTCACATGACCTATAACGAGCACCATACAGTTGCTTTCAACAGACTATAATGTTGACGAATGAGGAGGATATATAAAGACGCCGTTTTCCGTAAGGCGTCGTTAGAGCTGTTTAGTATGGTCAAAGCACGTTATTGGGAGTCTGTCTTCACTCAAATTGACCTAAACTTATACAGGCCTATAATATCTGACGCTCCATGTAGAAACATATTTGTGCGATGTCAAAATTGGTCTCGACTATACAGCACTGATTAAGACAAAAATAGTGCATCGGCAAATTTTAAGACCAAACAAATGGTGTTACAATTATTACCGTTTTTTTACATATCACACTTTGGTCCGTGAACGAGTAGGTGAAATGAATGTTTAATGCCTCCTTGCCTTTGAAACTTTGACTTTCGAAATAAATTCTGCCATGGGTTTTAATCCTCAATGTTACGAATGAGATGAGAGGTAATGAACAACGAAAGTTAGTCCTTATTAGTTTATTATTTTGTGAAAAGAACATAATCATGTGCATAATTAGTCGTATTTATTTATTTATTTATTTCAAGATCTACAAAATCTCAGCTCAAAGGTTGTTTACATTAACGTTAGAAAATAGTATAAAAAAAACAGTTATTAAAATGGTAAAAGAGTAAAATAAACAATTCAGATAATTTAGAAATAGGCCTATTTTCTAAATTCATAAATACCTATAAAAAAATAGTGTACATATTCCTATTAGTAGAGAGCCCGTCACATGGACGGTCTTAAACAGTTGATGAAACATATTCTTACAAAAATTAGTTGTATTTATGCAACTTAATTGTAAAAGTATTACAGTAGTTCAGGTATTCCAAAGAGTCTATTGTACGTTACATATTAACTCGCTGCCCGATCTAATATTGTAATTTTTAATCTATTTTAAATTATTATCGAAGTTTATATGAAGGTATTGTGGGGACTTTTTTTCGTATAGGCTGCTCAATTTCTTGAAAAAGGCCGCAGAGTCGTCAAACCAGATCCTGTATACGTATGAGGACTGGCCGGCAGGGGTAACTCTGCAGAACGCGAGTAATGGCTGTGGATGACAGTACAGACGATCCGTTCGTGTTGTTTACTGTTTTTGAGGAGATCAGACTAAATAAAAGAACTATTCCCCAACATTGAATCCAGCTGTGTGTGTGTGTGGAATCCCTTGTCTTTGTTCCTTTAGATGAGATTAAATAAGCCTTTGGTAGGGCAAGATGTAATAGTTTCTAAATTCATGAATACCTCTTACAATTTACCTATTACTATTGGTCGAGAGCCCGTCGCGTGGTCGGTCTTAAACGGTCGATAAAACACCGGCTGGCTGGTATTTAACACTTTTCTGGTGTCGCATGAAATTTAGGCTCCGATGCAATCTGGTCCCTTTTACCCTTTTTATTGGTTGAACGTTCACAATCTTCACCTAGGCATATGTGCAATACTACCAATGAGTCCGCATTTCTCGAGTCCTAATTCACACTACACCGGCACTGGCGCGTTCTGCGCCACATCGAGTAGTACGCACCACGCGCGCACCATTTTGCAGAGGAGTCGTCTGCGACTACTCGCGAGAGTAACATACCATTACATAGCTAGAGGGGCGTCTCGAAAAACATTAAGGACATTTGTTGAACAAAATTGTTGAAATTTGACATTTTGAAATACATTTTTTTTTCTACTTGTGTTGAAGTTTGGACCGAAAAGTTTTGACTTTTAAAAGGCATTTGTAATGGGTTTAAATTGGCCGGTATTATACACTATTTTTTAAGACCGGTAAAGAGTCTGGATGCTGATATGACCCGAGCCGAAGGCGAGGGTGATTATCAGCATGCAGACTCCAAACCAGTCTTAAACATAGTTTTAAAAACCGGCCAAGCACACGTTTATTCCCTTATTATAAAACGCCTGAATAATGGCCGTCATTATTATGTTGATTGGTTGGTCTTTGATCACGTGTCATATTGAATTATTTTGTCCCAAAACAGGGCGCGGCCGCAGAAATAGAGCTTCCATCGCACGGTGACGCTGTCACACAGCTCTGATAGCTCTGTTGCTGTACATTCATAGTACCGGTTCACAAGTTACCAACCTGATGACGAGGATCTATTTAGGTGTTGTCTAAAACAAATAATGAATGTTCTTCAATCGTGCAATGGACAGAATGATTTCATTCGGTAACAGATGGAATATTTCATTCCGCACGGCTTTGCCTTGTGCAACATTCCATCTGCCACGGAATGAATTTATTCTTACGATTTAACGTATAAACATTCATTAGGAACATAGAAGACAAGATCCACAAGATCGACGACATACACAATCGCAGCCGACGCAACAATGTCGTCATTCAAGGCGTCCCTGAAGGCTCCGAGGCGGAGTCTGAATCCTATGTGGAATTTATTGCCGAGTTCCTCTCCAACCATATGAAGCTCCAGGCTGTGGAAGATATCAATATCGACCGGGCACACCGCACAGGACCTCCACCAAGGACTGGCCCATCGGCCGAACTCACCAACCTGCGACCACGGCCAATCCACTGTCACCTTCTCCGCTACAGCGATCGCCAGTACATACTGAAAAATGCAGCCAAGCACCTCAACAACAATAAGTTCAAGGGCTAAAACATATTCGTCACAGATTATGTCACACCAAAAGTCAGAGCACAACGGAAGGAGCTAAGAGAAACCCATCTACGGCGCTTCCAGAACCAAGAGAGGGTCCACTTCGCATATATCCCGTGGTCTGTTCCAGCAATGATCCGATACAAGACACGCGATGGGCCCTTCAGATCATACCGTCTTGGGGGAGAAGCCTGAAACCCACGCCTCATTTGGTGATTCATATTATAATGCAGTTCCGTTACTTGTGTGTTTTTCTGTGTTTGTGCTTTGTGTACTGGTATGAGACAAGCCACTTAGAATATATTTGGTTCATTCAACTGGCTATGATGGGTTCTCCAAATATTGGTCAGTGAATAAGGTATTGTTAATCAGCAATTAAGTAACAACTTGTTTACGAATTCCGACATAGATCCGGATGTTAATTTTGATATTCCTTACAATAACTGTAATTATTATAGTGAAGATGAGTTTTTAGATAATTTTAGCAATAGCAATGATATTAAGCTGCTGCATTTCAATGCTCGTAGTCTACCAAGAAACATATCAAGCATTATTTAATATTTAAATATATTACAAAAGAGTTTTGCAGTTATTGGAATATCTGAAACCTGGTTTAAAGGACATACATGACCCCTTAATACAAATACCTAATTACACTATTGAAGGTAACTGTAGACAAAACAAAAGAGGTGGTGGTGTTGCACTTTATATGAAACGTGACCTATAGCTTATACAAATCGCACTGACTTATGTCTTACTAATTCTGATATTGAATCATGTTTTATTGAACTTGTTAACGCAGGTAAAGCGAATATCATCGTTGGAATTGTTTATAAACCTCCTTGCGTGACATGTAATGACTTTATTGAAAGTATTGATACAATATTATCACAAATAGATAATGAAAACAAATCGTGTTACATTATGGGCGGTTATAATATCAACTTAATGGAATGTGATACTGATAATAGCGTTCAAAGCTTCATGACTACCTTATTATCTCATTCTTTCTATCCTACTATAGACAAACCAACCAGGATTACTACGGAAAGTGCAACTCTTATTGATAATGTTTTTACCAATGTTTATCAAACTCATCCTGCCGGTGTTTTGGTGACCGATTTCAGTGACCATCTTCCTGTATTTTTAGTAATTGAAAACCTTAAAGAAAGAGAGCAACCTGATCGCAAATGTAAAAAGCGTGACTTTAACCACAATAATATTGACAATTTTATTCATGACTTGAATGATACTGAATGGGATGAAATAACGTCATCAAATGATATTCATAGTATGTACAATACATTTCGGTTACATGTTAAACACATTTATAACAAAAAAAATTCCCTTACACGAGGTAAAATGCCGTTGTGATAAACTCAAATCCCCTTGGCTAACTGACGGGATTTACCTTTCAATTAGGCGTAACAATTATTTGTATAGAAAATTCAGGAAAAAAACCTACTTCGCACAATAAATATGTATATACCTGCTACAAAAATAAACTTAACACTCTTATTAAATAATCCAAAAAAAAGTTATCTTTTATAAAAAATTCAATGAAGTAAAAAGCAATATTAAAGGTACTTGGAATGTTATTAATTCTCTACTAAATAAGTGCAAGCAAAATGCTAACCCTTCTTTTTTTTAACCAAGATGGTACTAATCTTGAAGGTAACATGGAGATTGCTGAGGCATTTAATAATTATTTTGTCAATATTGGCAAACTACCGTCACGTAACACTTCTTTTCGTTCATTTCTAAAGACCCCATTCTCGAACTCAGTCTCTCTGTCACCTGTTACCCCAGAAGAGATTGTGGATAATCTTAACAAACTTCCTTCTGGCAAGGCTCCTGGATTTGATTGCCTAAATTCTTTTGTTATTAAACAAGCACGGTATTCCATAGCGAAGCCTTTGGCTGACATATTTAATAAGTGCTTGACAGCTGGAGTATTTCCTGATGATTTAAAAACAGCACAGGCTACACCAATCTACAAAAAAGGTTGTAAGCATGATATTGGTAATTATAGACCCATATCGGTATTGTCCACATTTTCCAAATTATTGGAAAAGTTAATTTACACACGATTAATATCTTTTATGAACAAGCATGATATCGTGTCTGATGCACAATTTGGTTTTAAACATAAAAGGTCAACTGATCTGGCGACATCCTATGTTCTAAGTAAAATATGTACCGCGATTGAACATAATATTTTCTCGATTGGCATATTTCTAGACTTGTCAAAAGCTTTTGATACAGTCAATCATGGTATCTTAATAAGTAAGTTGGAACACTACGGTGTGGAACAGCACTTGACTTGACTTGACTTAAAAGTTATTTGAGGAATAGAAAGCAGTACGTGTCATATAATTCTGTAAATTCTCCCTATCGAGATATTACTTGTGGAGTACCACAGGGTTCTGTATTAGGCCCAATACTTTTTATCATTTATATTAACGATATCATTAACACCTCTGACATTATTTCATTTTGTTTATTTGCCGATGATACTAGTTTATTATATACTCATAAAAATGTTGATACTGCTATTAGAAACCTTAATGTTAAATTGAAAATGATTAGTACGTGGTTCTTAGCTAACAAACTTTGCATTAATTTGTTGAAATCGAACTATATGATTTTGTGTGCCCATCAGTATAAATACACTCAATCGGTTCCCTTAATTTTAAACGATTCCAATCTAAGTCCAGCAAAAAGCACTAAATTCTTTGGCATAACTATTGACGAGAATCTCACTTGGAAAAAAACACATCAATGATATATAGTGACAAAAATATCAAAAAATGTTGGCATAATGAATCGTTTAAAATATTACCTCCCAAGTAGAATCTTACTAACTTTGTACAATTCCTTTATTTTGCCATATCTAAATTATTCAATTTTGACTTGGGGTGGTTCACCATCCAAATGCAACAAATTGCTCATGTTACAGAAGCGAGCGGTCCGATTAATATCGCATGCTGGTTATCGTGATCATACCCTTCCTTTATTTGCGAATTTGAGACTCTTACAATTCAATGACTTATACTACTTTAACCTGGGTAAATTTATGTATAGCTTTACACACAATGCATTACCTACCTATTTCAACCCCTTCGTTGTGCTCACATCTGATATTCATTTGTATAATACCCGAAGCACTAGTAGGAGAAATTTATATGTCCAATTCAACAGAACAACATTGTCTAAAAATAGCGTTATTCAACGTGGTACATCATACTGGAATAGTCTAGATGACTTCTTAAAATCAGCACCTTCCTTCTCTGTCTTTGTTAAAGGGAAAATACAACATTTGCAAACATCAAAAAATAAACTACCAAATCATTTTGAAATACCTTGCTGGACTGTTAGTGAATGACAGTGTAAAGCATCCTGTAAAATCATGGCACCTGGCATATTGTCATTTTCAAGAAAAGTGGTATTTTTGTATCAATTTCCAACGCTGGTCGGCCGACCAGCGTTGGAAAAAAACTGGCTTTTTTCAACTACTGGCCCCA